TTTTGTTTAAAGACCTGTAATCAATACAAAGTCTATAGTCCACAGTTTTTTTCTTAATAAGCACAACAGGCGAGCTATATTCAGAATTGCTTCTGCGAATAATATTCCTATCTAGTAAATCCTTGGCTATTTCTTGCACAGCCTGTCGTTCAGAAAAAGAAAGCCTGCGTGGTTTGTAAAAGAAAGGAACATGGTTAGGATCTACCACAATTTTAAATTCGTATTTAGTCTGTGGCTCAAGAGGCCTTGGTGGATTTAAATAATCAGAAATAAAAAGGTCGGTTAACATTTTACTTTGAGTTGGATCCAGAGATGGATTTATATTCAAATCAATTTCATTTTGCTCTACATACTCTATATGCAAAATTTCTTCGGGACACTCAGATTTGCTTTTACTCAAGTTTAAAGGTGAAGGCAAAATGTTTACTTGTGTACCTGTAAAAGATATAATAATTTGATTGTTTGTCATAAAGTCACGCCCTAAAAGACATGTATAGGGTATAGTATCATTTGGGACCACATACAAAAGTAAATCAAAAACAATATCAGCAACATTAATTTGAAACAAAACTGAACCTAAGATTTCTAATTTTGTCTTATTTATGCCTTCATAAGACCTATTTGGTATTTCAGAAAATTTGAAATTAAACATTTTAATAGTATCATAAGTTATCAGTGATATTGCACTACCTGAGTCCACAATAGAGTTTACATAAATAGAAATGTTTTCCTTACTCAATTCAATTGGCAACATGTATCCACTTGTGACGCTTGGCTCCACTAATAATGAAGAAGTAGATGCATGTTCCGTCTTAGGCCTAACTACAGTAGGCGTAAACTTTGGGCAATCTTTTTTCTGGTGCTGAAGCGACCCACAAATATAACAGGAGCCCTTTGCTCTTGGTGGCTTAATGCACTGGGAAGCACCATGACCTAGGATATTACAGTTAAAGCATCTCAAAGCACTACCATTTCCAACTGCAGGCACGCCACTGGACCTATTAATTTCGGGCTTAAAAATTTGTGCAGGTTTTTTGTCTAATTGAGGTTCCTTTCTGTCCTTAATTCTGGTTTTACGTGCCAAAACAATCCTCTCATAATTAACGATGTCTTGGAACAAACTATCTTCGTCATAATGGCTTTTCGACATGATGAAATTGCTCAACTCTTTGGACCAGAGCCCTATCGCTACTTGCTCTTTAATTTCCTCAAAGCAAAGTTCCAAGTTTTTGCATAATGCTACTTTACAATGGAAGTAGATTGAAACCCCCTCACTTGACAGCTGTACTCGTTCTTGCATTTTCTTCCAATTGTCTGTTTTGTTTTGAATGAAAACAAACGTTTTTTTGAAGGCATTCTTAAAGCTGGACCAATCAACAAGCTCTGCACTACGACCCATGAACCAATACTTTGCAGCACCTTCTAAATTAGTTTTTGCTGTTTGAAAAATAAAGGCATCCGGCCAATTATGTAGCAAGGCTGTGCTTTCAATTTGCTGCAACCATATTTTGGCCTTACTCGAGTCTTCTTCACCGTTGAATTTGTCTATGCTCTTCGAAAGGTCAGGCATAATATTAAAATTTGAAATATTACCAGCTTGGCTTTGGGAGTTCCTAGCAAAAGGGGTTGTAGCTGCTTGATTCTGCTGCAACTGAAGCATTTGCAGCATTTGTGCATTCTGTTGTACCAGCATATTAACAACGTTCACCAATTGAGCTGGATCTTGCACAGGATTCGGTGGTGCTTGCTCGGCATTATTATTATTATTTGGTTGCTGCTGTAGCCGCTCCGCCATAAAATTTTCAAAGTCCTCGACACTGTTCACATCCATTTTTATTTTTTAAATAGGATAATCGCTCCTTAAAGAAAAAAAAATCACAGGCAAACCATAATTTTGCCCAAAAACATAATTTTCACTATACTGCACTAGACGGCTCAAACTTGCTGTAGCCCCCGAGTGTAGACTGTAGACCCCGACATGAACAATGCTGTAACCCCACACCTGAAGTTGTAGGGAAGGCCGGCGATGTTAGTTTACAAAATAAAAGAAGTTGCGATTCTATTTTAATTAACTTTTATTGGAAAAACTGGCGATTAACCGTTTGTTTCGTGGCACGTGGTTGTTGTTCTTCTTGATTCTAGAAAAAACCTGGTCTGTGTCAAAAGTCAGAAATGTCATTCATAAATGACATTTCTATTACGTCACAGGACAGGGTTGCTACCTTTATGGTTGCTACATAACCTAATGAATGCTTCAATATGGCGCACAGATAGGATAAACACTATGAAAGTAAGGAAATTGCTAAATTGCTTACAAGTTACACTTTCACACAATAGATAAGCTGATTCCTAGGATAAGAATATTTTTTGTTAATTCTTCTTGGAATCAATAAAGCTGATTTACTTGAAAAAAGATATAACATTTCTGAAGAAAATATTATTGGAGCTAAAAATTTTTGGTGTAAGGTTCACAAGAACTTATAAAAAAGTTTTTTCATTAAGACGGCAGACGGCCCAATTTCGATGTCCGGCCCCCCGGGCATTTGCCCGGTGTCCCGGCGGTGCCACCCGCCCATGGGGCATCCTAAAACCGATACTGTTTATAATTTTTCAATAACACGATGAAAAAAGCAGGTCCATATTTAAAAAAAAATAAATTGATGATGATTCCACAGGAACGAAACGTTGGATTTCAAATTTAATACCGCCATCTTGTAGAGAAGAAAAAGTGACAATGGGAATGTGAAATTAGTTTTTCAAAATCTTTTTAAATGGAATCGGGAAATAATTTAAGAAAAACGAGAAATTCTTGTTTTTTTTCGTATAGTTTTCATTTTTTCCTGATTTTATTTAAGAAGATTGTGAAAAACTAATTTTACATTTCCATTGTCACTTTTTTTTCTCTACAAGATGGCGGTATTAAATTTAAAATCCAACGTTTCGTTCTTCTGGAATCATCATCAATTTATTTTTTTTTAATACGGACCTGCTTTTTTTACTGTTATTGAAAAATTATAAACAGTATCGGTTTTAGGATAGCCAAAGATGACAAAATCGCAAATAAAAAATCCAGGCCCGTATTTAAAAAAAGGAAGTTGAGGATGGCCGCCTGAAGACGAAACGTCGAATTTGAAATTTAGTAGCACCATCTTTTAAAGGGGAAAAAGTGACAACGATGAAGTGACATTTATTTTAAAATGGCTCTTCAAATAAGCCCACGAAAAAATAAAAACGATTTTACAAAATTTCGGTTTTTTCCGAATATCTCCGGAAGTATTTGGAATCTTTCTAATTTCAAAACAGCATTCTATTGGTCATAAAATTGCCCAACTTTGCCATCATTTAACCGACCCCGTATATTTTACGGTTACCGAGATCCCAATGATGAGGCTCGAATTTGGGCCACCCGTACAATCTTGGTTCAAAACATAGTTCAGCTGAACTCGACTGGTACTTGAGTTTTCCCATTTAAAATACATTGCTGTCAACTAATAATCAAATTCTATCAATTTTGACAGCAATGCATTTCAAATGGGAAAGTTCAAATACCAGTCGAGTTTACCTGAACTCTGTTTTAAACCAAGATTTTACAACTGGGCCTCAAAGTATGATATGCGATTTCTGGGTTAGAATGGGATGATATTCCCAGCGATTACCACATGATTCTCAGAGCCAATGGATTCCTATATGATTCCCATGGTTCCTAGCGATTCGTAGGTTATTTCCAGGGACTCCCAAGTGATTTCCATGTATTCCTGATTGCTCTGTTGGCTTGAGGTCATTTGGCTCATGCTCCGAGACTTTTTGGTCTGCAGTGGAGGGCAGTGAGAGTTCTGGTTCATGTCGGATACCAAGAGGACCTCAGGCCCATACATTTATGGAGACCCATTGTACATGCATCATAATCTGCATAATATTGGGGCTCTGGGTGGAACCCACCAACATGATGATACCAGACATCGCCACAATATCAGGATTGATTTTCTCAGACTAACAGCAACAAGGAATGGGTCACTTTCACATTTTTCAAAAACATATTTAAATTATTCTTTTAGTCATTCTAATATTATCTGTATACTTTTTTTCTGAAAAAAAAAACGCATATTTTTGGAAAAAAAATTATTTAAAAATCGAATTTTTAAACTGGCGCGTAAACGCGAACCTGGTTTGTGACGTCACAAACCAGAAAATCAACAAAAGTGCGATGATGCCAAATTTCTCATTAGTAAATCATTACACATTTCACTAGCTAGAAACCATTTTCGTCATTTACTACGTTATAAAAAAACAAAGGATAGGTATAATCCTTATTACTCATTTAAATTTCGCATTTCTACATGTGGCTACAAAAACGTCAAAATCGGCTTTAGCCAATCAGAGAGCGTTTTCAATCACGTGATTTTTCATTTAAATTTTTAGTTTTTATTTATTAATTTATTCAATAATCTGACTAATATTTTGCAAAATATTGTTCATTCTTGGTTGCATTGATCTGCGTCAAAATATATCATAATTTGCCATATTCCCGGCATGTGAAAGTGGCCCATTCAACACTTTATTTTGCTTTTGTCTTTCATAATAAATTGCCTGTCTTTGTAAGAGAGCTGACAGCTCAGCGATTCAAGTTTGTAATTAAGAAATATCTGTTAGGCTGAGTTTTTTTAAAATCATTATAGGGAGTTTCTATTGGTGTGACACTGTGGTTGATTTGTTGATTATTATTTGACGAATGTAAAAATTTATACCTGTATACATGATTGTGCAATTGAGAAAATTTTGATAAACAAGTTTTTTTTTTATTAGTTTTGGCCAAATGAATTCACGAGACAGACGAAGTAAAGTAAGTAGGCAAGACTTAGCACGAGCCACATTGGTCACCATAACAAACAATATCGGTTCCATAGCCAGAATGTGCGCTATGCAACACAGTTTAGAAAGAGTAAGTTTTATTTAAATCACAAAAACCAGATAATATGAATATCAATATTTTTACAGGTGGTATTTATAGGTAATTTCTTACGAGTCAATCCTATAGCGATGAAGCTTTTAGCTTACGCCATGGACTATTGGTCAAATGGATCGATGAAAGCCTTGTTCCTTGAGCATGAAGGATATTTCGGGGCTGTAGGCTGTTTATTGCAATACCACGACAATATCATTAGGTAAATAAATGAATATTATTGTGCATAAGTAAATCATATTGTAATACTAGTGTTAAGAAATAAGAATACAACAAAAAGTGGCTTATATACTTATTATTTATGTTGAGAAAGTAATAATCGAAATATGTATTTAACTTGTTCCAAATTGGTAATTTATAAGTTTTCATCAATTATATTTTTTGTAAAAAGTAGTACCAGAGGGTTTCTACCGTTTATGTTATTGTTATTAGTTGATTATAAATTACACACAGGAATTTGTGTGAATATCTTTTTATACCTTTTTTGTAGAATAGTTAAGATTCCTAATATAATAAATAACTCATATGAATCAAAAATGTTTTAATATTAAAGTGCTGTTGAATAATTTTATGATAATCTGTGATGTGCAACCACTACATTATTTTTCAATTGGTTCCATTTATTTATTTTTTAATTTTAAAGCTATTTGTGTTTGAAAGTACAGATAAGCTTTTTTATTTTAATTTTAAAGCCTAGCACTCACTTGCGGACCAATTGAACAATCCGATGCACTTAGTTTGGGATGTGATTCAGAGGCGGTCAAGCATTTGTTGCAGATCCTCAGAGAATTTCATGCGCTGTATATGTGTGTCTGTGTTTTTAATGGAAAACCTTTGTTGATATTAGATTAATTATTGAAGCACTGCCTTGATAGGCCATTGTACGTCCTCATGTGAGTGCATAGCTTTACAAAGTGTCTTTGAAAGTTGTACATTAACTTTTAAGTTTATATATTATATAAGTACCTTATTAATTTGTAAGTAAAAACAGGTGTTGGTTGTGGCATTTATAGTGCACAGGTGTAAAATAAATTATACAGCTACACTTAACAATAATATTTATTGACAAAAAATATATTACAATAAAAATCGTTTCTATATGTCATTCCCTTGTTTATTTATTTATTTATTCTTTTCAGTCAACCCAGCATAACCTGAAACAAATGTATTTATTTATTTGGAAGGAGCAGTAGACCCTGCAACCCTACCACATTTATTAGGCAATTCAAGTATTCACCCAACCCACCTAATAGTAACTACAAAATAATGTATGCTTATTTTTTTCTCACCTTAGAAATAAATAATGTAGCAAATGCCTTAATAAATTAGTGGGAAACAAAAATAATTGCAGGATTTATTTATTCTTAGTAACAGTATGTATGTATGTATTACATCAATTTTGCTTTAAGCATTCAGCTTATCACTTGAAAATATACTAATAAATAATAAATAAATAATCTATTTTGCATTAGAAATTGTCAAGGTTCACAACCTAACCCACTTTAGTCTCTTCAAGTCTGCAAATTTTGAGAAAATGTATCTGAGATTAAAAATACTGAAGTGAAACTCACATTTTGACATAATCCCTCTTTTGTCTATATTCGTAGTTGCTGAAATCCATAATATTTAAATTTTGATCCACTGCAGCAAATAAGTACTCGGAATCGAAGGAGAGGCTGTAAACTGGCGAATTCAATGTGGTTCCTTTACAAGACCTCGTGAAGTATAACTGAAAAGATATACTTGTAATTTTCTGTTTTAAGTTTACAATTTAAAAGTTATATGTAATGTTCTTAACTTATCACCGAGCTTATCACATATTTTCTAAGTTAATTTTTTTTTAATGATCCTACACATGAAAATATTGTCCTTTGTAGGTTGTGAACGATTGAGAAACTTATATGAAAACTTGGCATTCCTATACTATACAAAAATTGAATATGCACGTTAGATGCAAAGGATGTCAGTCGAGGTCAGGCCCATGGTGGGTAACTTCTGACTTGTCATTGTATTGTAACATTATATGTGGTGATTATCATGTTTTGTTAAGAAAATCTCATCAAGCTATATTGGCAGATATTGCCATATATTTTGTTTTTATGTTGATGTGTTTGCATTAAAAAGTTGTACGGTGTAGTTCTAGGAGTAGTTCGTCGAGATTTGCAAAACAGAATTCTTCCATCGAAAATAGAAAACCGGCTTTTTGTGTTGTGATTTTTGGAATAAAGTGTAGGAAAAGAACAAAATCTTTCGAGAAGTGGGATCATATCCAAAAAGACCCTAGTTATTACACTGTTTGCACAAATGAATAAAGGGTCATTTCGCTTTATTTGCTATAAGGCTAATAGACACAAATTATCCTTTGTTTTTCATTCTCAGATCACGTTTATTATAAAAAACGCTATTGTTTTATTAGCCACATCTTCCAAAAAATATAGGCATTTCAATGAAGATTTACAATTTCATTAATCCTGGGCATTAATTTATAAGAAAAAGATTATACAGAAAAAACAAAATTGCCTTCAATAAACAAAAACAAAATAGGATTAAATACAATTTATAGGTGAACATTCCATGAATATCACTTGAAGGTTATTCTTGTGGTCTGGACCAATCGACGGACAAAATTAGATGGTCATAGCCGTGTCCATCAAGCCTAGCTATAACTTGGGCTGCGTCACGTTTATATTTGAAATGGATATAAGCAAATCCTTTACAGAGACCAGTTTGTTTGTCTTTTGCCAAAAAGAGCTTATGAATAAACCCAAATGGTTTCACCAGCTCCGCCAAATCTTCTTCCGTTGTTGACTCGCTAAGGTTCGAAATACGAATAGCTGGATAGTTGTCGTCTCTTCTATTTGTGTTATCAGATCTTTTGGTATTGCCCTGCCTTAAACTTGGAGGAACGTACTTCAAACTTTCAGACTTTTTGGTCTCGGCGGCAGTTGGCTTTGTTTCATTTGAGTTAGCGTTAGTCAAAAAGGTGTCTTTGAACATACATTTTGAGGTCCAGTGATCTCCTCCACAGCTACGACATTTAACCACGTTCTTATTTCCCAAAGCTTTCAGCTTGTCAAGACCATCATCAATCTTTTTGTCTTCCTCTTTGCTTGAGATGAACTGCATATAAACGTCTTCTCCTATAAAAGTTGTGGCTGGATTCGGACCAGATTTATCATTAGCAGAATCGCCAAATTTGTTCCAAGTTTTTCTCAGAGCGATGGATTTTGGAACAATCCGTTTTTCTATTTTGTAAGTGCGTACAATTTTCACTTTTTTAGAATTGTCCAAGACTTTGAATTCGGTAACAATTTTGACGTTGTTTTCGAAAACCTCGCTTGAAACTGGCGTTAATGCACTTTCCGATTCAACTTCTTCCGCCCAACTGGACTTAATCACTTTGTTGCTGGAAGCCATTTTTCATGCAATGCGAGAATATTTTGAAGGCTTTTGAAACACAAAGATGTCAAAGTTGAAATACTGACAAATAGCCCGTCAAATAGTGACAGATTTAGGTGCCCCATTTTCGCATACAAGCCTTAAAGATGGTTGCACATCGATTTTGAGTAGGATGGAGGGAAATTTACGAGTGGCTCCTTGGGATAACATTATGGAAAATTCGATTTCCATTTGTCAATCAGTGCGCACTGAGTGTATCCGCATATTTTTCTAAAAGCATGTAACATGTAAGGTGTAACAAGGATAGATTTTTTTTGCACTGGTTCGACAAATGGAATTCGCTATTAAAGTCCGTCGATTTTAATAATCTGATACTCGAGAGGAATGTGAGCTGGTGAGTGGCTGGTGACACTCTCCATTAGAACGCCAATGGTCACCTGATGTCACACCTGTTTTTGCCATATACTTCACCTCCTCGCTCCTCATACGGAAAAAGTCAGATTAAAAACGACGGACAATATATTATCTATTATCCTAAAATGTACTTTTTCATTCGCGCCACTTGAGCCAATATGCAGCAAGGAGCAAAAGCCAAATGTGGTGGGGATATTTTTGTTATGTTGAAGAAGAGGGCACTAGAGCTCGCCCACTGGACTCTGATATTTTCCAATGTGTAAATTTTTTTGGAGGATTAACGTTCTACGTTCCATTTATGTTTTGCCTGTTTGGGTTCACATAATTTTGTTTTGGTTTTGGTGTTGATTGAATTTTCTCAACTTCACCATTTCCAAAATGGAAGAATCAAAATCTAGAGAATTGCCTTTTACATGTAAATCCAGTTTCAAACCCATAGGATTGGGATATTACGTGATATTACTTTTAAATTGAGTATAAGTCGGAGAACTGACTCTATGAGATAGCATTGAAACAAACCTTACCCACATGCAATAACGTTTTGCCTTTCACATGTAAATCCAGTTTCGAATCCACCAGATTGGGATATGACGTTTAAATTAAGTATAAGAATTATATGTAGGTATGTAATTTTATAATTAGGTAAAGTCCGTCGATTTTAATCTGATACTCGACCGAAATGTGAGCTGGTGGCACCCTACATTAGAATGCCAATGGTCACCTGACGTCACACCTGTTTTTGCCATATACTTCACCCCCCAGCTCCTCACACGGAAAGTGTCAGATTAAAAACGACGGACAATAGATACCTAGTGTTATTTATCTTTGTCACTAGATGTCATTGCTTTTATTTGTTTTGTTGATTGTTATATTATGATTTTTCAGGAATAGAATGAAATTTCACATCTATGGCAATGTGAAGCATCTTACCTGTACACATCTTTTAGTCCGTACATCCCATAAAGCAACCCTTCCATGTAGATACGTACCAACCATAATACTGTTGCAGTAGTCATAATCTAAACAGTATAAACCGGCACCAAATGCGTCGTGAAACTTTTGTTCACAGTTACCAGTTCTTAAATCCCATCTAATGACATTGAAAATTATTTTCCTATCAACATTACAAATAAATAAATGGATTACCTTCTTAAATGACTATCATTACCGCAAGACCATATACCATTGGGGCCATCCCATTTGATGTCCAAAGTTGCAGATATAAAATGACCGAGTTTTAAATTCATAATCTCTGTATACCTGCGAATAAATGGAAAATAAATCCCTTAAAAAAAGTTTTTGGTTGATAAACTACCTATCAGTATCAAATAACAATATTGATTTCCTGCTATCACCTCCTGCAGATGTACCACACGCAAATATGGGTCGTTCTTCGCAAAATGATACACACCAAGCTCTCTGACCTAATTCCTGGGTATGTATTAAAGTTAATTCTAAAAAAAAAAATATTAGCTCAATGTCAATAATGTATTGCCTATTTCAACTTACCTAAAGGATCTCGATGTAGTGAAAATATTTTAAAACAGTCATTTCTCATTCCGCTAGCTACTACCAGTCCATCAGGAGAAATATCAACCGAACAAGTGAATGTATGTTCGTCTTTATCGATATAGAAATCATTTTTGTTGATGAGATTTTGAACGTAAACTCCTCCATCACTAGAAAAATATAATATGCTAGGATTTTCAGTTAGCTATTCAAGTTACAAGGCCTATAAATATGAGATACTCGCTGACGCTGAAGTTTCTATAGCTGAGGTTTATAATAATCGTGTTTTATTCTCGGTTCTATTCTATTCTAAATTTGTAGTCTGTAGATTTTGCAACACAATCATTACTTTTCAGAACAAGTTGGAGATAAACCCAAGTTTATTAAATATAATAATTTCACAATTTATTTTCATACATAGTAATTTATTTCTTATCAGCAGAAAAGGAGGCAGAATGAATGTGAAAAGTGAATTATCAGTTGCTATTAATTTGCAGTCTATCTAAAGGATACTTAGAATTTAAAAAGCTAGATGATACTGGAGTTGAAGCTTCTGTAGGAATAATTGCTGATGAAGTTTATGTTTTTGTTTTGGCGCCATTATCTGCTGACGGACGTTAAGTACCTATGACTTCTCAATTTTAATTCTGATCATGTTATAATACAATGCAGTAAAATGTAACGAAAGACAAATAATAATGAATTTGATTTTATTTAATTGTAATAGGTAGAAGTTATTTGTAATCAAACAAGTACACATTATAAATGATAGGGTGATTCTTACTCTTACCTGAGTCCGCCTACCAAAATATCATCTTGAACAGTAAATTTAGTAACATCAATAGACGAAAATCCTACATTAACACAGCTATGACGATATTGAGGCGTTAAAACATAATTAGGCTTAGAATTGATTATACATTCTCTGTCTCGCTTGTAATTAAAAATTTTCGAACCTCGGCTGAACCACAGGTAATCTTTGTCTAATTTTAGCCATGGCATGTATCTTTTTCTAACATAGAAAAGATTCTTTTCGTTATACATGCCATATTTCCAATTGTTTTGCAGCCTTAACTTTTCTAATTTTGTTGGTATCTTGGTGAAACATCTGAAAAAAAAAAATATTGACATTAAAGATTTTAATGGCTTTTGGTATTTCTTTTATGCTTACAAATAATCAGCCAAAAGAGACAAGCTAAAAAACTTTTTCAAGAGAGAGTCAGTTATTATGTATACAGGGTTGTCGTTATGGATGGAAACGGCCGAATATTTCAGAACGCGCTTAAGAAAAATGTACATATGTCAATTTCAATTTCAAATAAGCTTTATTGCCCAAAAATTTCAAAATTTCATTGACAAAGCAAAAAGGAATATCTTATAATTAATACTTAAAATTAATACAATATCCAATAATTCAAACTGAACAAACACAAGACAAGAACAGTTTGACAGTCTAAAACACGTTACAACATTTACATTAACTGACATGATTATTTATAAAGTATGTATATAACACTATAGCTATCCCATTCAATCTTCATAAAATTCAGTAAGACCATAATATGCCTTGGCGACCAGGTAGTTTTTTACAGACATACGGAAACTCTCATAGCAGTCCCTATCCTTAATGTCTTGAGGAAGATGGTTAAACATTTTCACACTTTCATAAATTATTGAGTTTTTTGTAAGGGAATGTGTACCTACCTGGGCCCCGATTCTCGTCTCAGGGTGTTAGAGTTCCTCGAGAGAACACATTTTTCGTCTTTATCATTCTCTTTTACATTTCGATTACGTTGACAAGGACAAAACATTCGTTCTATCAGGGAGCTCTACTGAGGCGAGAATCGGGATCCGATTTTTGGGAATGCCCGATTCAATGGTGGTAATTGCAATGCTGCCAAGTTTACCGTTTTCAAGATGCTGTATGTAACTTAATTTTTTTAAATGAAAGTCCCTCTTCATTTTTATTGTAATTAATTCAGCTTCCCAATATCACTAAAACCTTAAATGCCAAACTTTTATTTGACTTGGTTTTTGAAATATGGCAACACAGCATTTTTGTTGAGACACATATGTATGGAAACGGTCATGTATTTCAGAATAGGCTTTAGAAAAATTCGACAATGCTTATTCACTCGCATATTCAAGATTGGGTACATTCAAGCAGTGCCAGAGGCTAAGTTCAGCCACTCAGCACTTTATTCTTGAAACAGGGGGCAGCGTTCTCATGAGAACGAAGGTTCTGTCTTCGTCGTCCATAACACAATGACAGATCAATCGTTCTCATGAGAACGCTGCTCCCCTGTTTCGAGGACCCTGCTGAGTGGCTGAACTTAGCCGCTAGCACTGCCCGAATGTACGCAATAGGGGGACTGGTAGGCACAGGTAGCGCTTTCTGAAATATTAGGCCATTTCCATACATAATGACAAGCCTTATGTTGATATAGAGTGTTTGGAGTTACTATTAATCACTCTGGATACAAATTTCAGTTTCTATGCACAAATCTTAGGTTTTGAGCAGAATTGTGATGGTATATTGTACGGTTTTCTGCTGTGATGGAAAAGTATGATATATGCTATGTTGCTCAGTGGATCCTAAAGTCAACGAACAATAATTGTGATATTGTGTCAGTGAACAACTTTTAGCGCCTGAAATGATTAGACATGAAATATGTGAAAACCTATATGAAAAGTGGAAAAGAATGATGTTGTGAAGTTGCATTATATTGAGTTTGATAAAAAAGTGTTCTTTTTCTGCTGATTATCTGACAGGAAGGTAACAGAGAAGTCTTATGAAATAGTTATTTATTATACAAGGGAAAAAAGGACTAGATTTTAGCGCGAGGTGTGGTTTGTCTCCCGACCACTATTTTTTTCTGTGACGGGAAAATCTCACCATTTTCCATCTATACATTTTTTTTTTCTGTGACTGTACTTATACTGTTTTCCCTTTGAGAAAAAAAATTTGACTGGTAGGTACCTGTTACTTTTTTCCGGCGAGAAAAAAATAATCACTTTTTTCCCCTTACAGAAAAATAGTTATTTATTATACAATTATACAATTATACATTTATTATACTGTGTTGTCTCCCGCACACCTCGCGCTAAAATCTTACTTTTTTCTCATGTATAATACACTATTTTTTTCTGTGACGGGAAAATTTCAACATTTTTCCGAGCATTTTTCATCTATAAATTATTCCTTTTGAGAAAAAAATTTGACTGCTACCTGTTACTTTTTTCCCTCGGGAAAAAAAATTGACTGGTACCTGTTACTTTTTTCCCTTGGGAAAAAAAATCACTTTTTTCCCATGGGCGGTTACACACAGACATGGATGTCTTAATACATATACGTGCATTCATCAAAGTGCAAACAAAAACGTGCATGGCGCTTTTGTACAGACGCTCGCACAAAACTGCAGTCTTGCTATTCTTGCTACAGTATTCCGAGTGTGCATACAAAATTGCACATTCAAAAACGTAACGGTATTTTGCATACATATTTATGTTTTTGTTTGCACGTTCATGTATGTGCGTACATGTTTTCAGACATCCACGTCCGTGTGTAACCGCCTCATGGGAGAAAAAGTGACATTTTTGCCCCTGTCAACAGGTACAAAAAGTCTACTTTTTTCCCGTCAAAGAAACAAATAGTTTCCCCTCGTTTTTATTCTCATCGGTGACTTCACCGATGAGTTAGCTGTCTTTGTTCAGTGAATGGAAAATGACAATGACGGCCATGTCTTGACAGGTCTTGATGGCCTCTTGGCTCAAATTTCCCCATCTTCCAGGGTGCTTCTCGGTGGAGACTTTAATATAGACTACCTTGTCGACAATGCAATCTCAACTTTAACGTTAAAAAACCTTTTGACTTCCAATGCTCTAAATATGCATGTCGCAATGCCTACGAGGATTACAGATACATCATCTACGTTAATTGATTACTTATGTTCAAACTATGGCGCGGAAGAAGTAGATTGCAGAGTTGTCAATGCAGCTCTGTCTGATCATGAGGCAATAATTTGTGATATTTTGGAGCCAAAAATAAGGTACGAAGAAAAGGTTAGGCTTGGTAGGGTATTTAATAGGAATAGTTATAATAGGTTTTATCAGGAATGTAACGAGGAATCATGGGGTGATGTGGCAGAACAAGAGGAACCCCTAAGCACTTTTCATCAGAAAACCATTAAAATTTTTGAACAATGTTTTCCCTTAAGGAAACTTAAAATGAAAAAAGAAAAGCCTTGGTTTACTAAGGGCCTCAAAACTTCCTCAAAAAATCTTCGTTGTCTTCATAAAATTAGGAAATTCACTGACAGTTTATTTTTTCACAACTTCTTTAAGTCATATAGGTCTCTTTATCGGAAATTATTGCCGCTGCTAAAAAGAAATACTACCACGATCGTCTTAATTGTTCATCAAATAAACAAAAAGAATGTTGGCAGATCATAAATAATATTCGCTCCAACAACTCTTCAAAACCGTCATCGTCCCCTGAGGTTACTCCCGATCATTTAAATCAGTATTATTGCAGTATTGCAAGAAATTTAACAAAAAATATCAAACCCAGTGAAGATTCGATGTCCTATATGACTGGAACATCAGTGGTTAATTCATTTTCATTTACTCCAACTAACTTGCATGAAGTAAAACAAACCTTGAAAAGTATTAAGAAGAAGAATACCTCCGGTGAGGATGGGCTGTCTGCGAACATCTTGCTTAGCATGCCTGATATCTGATATGATTCTGTCTGGCATACTTGTGAACTCTATAAATATCTCGTGGACAAGTGGTATATTTCCTACAAGCCTAAAGTCCGCAATGGTGATTCCCTTGCATAAGGGGGGGGGACGAGTCCAACCCAGCAAATTTTAGGCCGATTTCACTACTGTCCACTCTATCTAAGTTGATTGAAAAGTTAACTAAGGCTCGTGTCATGTCATTTCTGGAGCGTAACAAAATTCTAAGCAAGACCCAATTTGGATTTCAAGCCAACACTGGCACAAACAATGCTATGTTCCATTTGCTCACTCGGTTATTTTCGTCCATCAACCAATCAAATGTAGCTGCGGCGGTATTTTGCGACCTAGCAAAAGCATTTGATTGCGTAAATCATTCCATTCTTCTTAAAAAACTTTACCATTATGGATTCCGGGGTGTGGTTTTAAAATGGTTCGAATCTTATTTGAGTGAAAGGACCCAGCGAGTTCTAATAGGATCGGATGCATCCAGACCGGGCCATGTTGAGTGGGGCGTGCCGCAGGGTTCAGTACTTGGCCCTGTTCTATTTCTGCTTTTCTTCAATGACTTGGCTATGCTTCCAATTAATGGAAAGTTTACCATTTTTGCTGACGATACTACCATATCGTGGAGCTGTAGTGACGTTGCTACTCTTAAAGCTGCCATTTCAGGGGACTTGGAATTGGTAAAGAAGTGGTGTGATGCTAGTTTCTTGACGTTTAACTATGGTAAAACTAACCTGGTTTCTTTTAAATGTCATATAGATGATATTGGGGTTGGAGATGGTTTAATAGCAAGGCGGGAGTATAGCAAATTTTTGGGTTTAACAATCGATTCCAATTTAAAGTTCGATGAACATATTTGCTCTCTCAGTAAGAAAATAGCTTCTGGCTGCTATGCTGTGAAGACGACAATCCGGGAGCTAGGGTTTAACTTCGGAAAATCAGTTTACCATGCACTAATTGAGTCACACCTTCGGTATGGCATTGTTTTTTGGGCTCAACAACTGATCAGCTAATTGGTATGTTGTTTATCTTACAGAAGAGAGCGTTGAGATATCTTTGTAATGCTAACTACAGAGAATCATGCAAACCTCTGTTTAAATCCAAGAAAATCTTAACCATCACTTCAAATCAAATCAAATCAAATAAGCTTTATTGTCAAAAAACAATTATTAATGTTGTAGACAAAGCAGGCCTTAATCCTAATTCATCATACATCCAACTTCATAACAAGGATAAAAATAAAATGATTCACAACAATTGAAGGTAACACATTAAAAAATTGTTGACGGATGTCAACTAGCATCACTAGCACCATAGCACTTACAAATTAATATAAAAAATTAAATCAAAATAAGCTATAATTATTATTTTTTTTTGCCTTCCTTTTTTTTTCTTTTTTCTTTACAAATATAATAAAAACCACCGGTCGAAGCCAACATACTCATCAAAAATAAAAACATTAAAAACAAAAAAAAATTAAAAAAAAAAAATTGTCAAGTTAAATACAAAACCAGAAAAACAACAAAATATTACAAAGAAACAATCATGTTAATATATCACAGTGATATTCTCCTATGCTATAGTATGGCCTAGTAGAAAGCATTTTTTTAACAGATTTTCTAAAATTTTTGCTGCAGTGAATTGATCTTGTATTCAACGGCAGGTGGTTATATATTTTAAGACCTTCAAATATAACCGAGTTCTTGGTTAAACCAGACCTTGGAATTGGGAGAGGTAAGTCCCACTCATTACGCATGGCATAGGCAGAATTGCGTCTCTGGCCTTTGAATCTTTTATGCAACAAACAGACCATTTCCAATATAAATAAGCAGACCACAGTAAGGATCTTTTCCTTTATGAAAAGGGGTTTACAATGTTCTTGTTTGTATATTTTAGAAACAGCAAGTCTCATTTATACTCATCGCAATGACTTTGTCCGGCCTTCTACTAGCTATGGCTATAGTACAAGATCTACCCAGCAAATTAACCTACAGCTTCCTATTCCGAAATCTTCGTTTGTTCATAAATCAATACATTATAATGGTATAAAGGTGTTCAACCATCTACCACAAGCAATTAAAATATCACCAACAATGAGATTATTTAGAAAAGGACTACAGCAACCAGTGATGTAAAATGACGGTCATTTAAAATCGTGACGGTCATTTGCGTCATGACGTGTCATGACGGTCATGACCATGGTCATAGTTCATAGTAATTATTTCAATTTTAAACGCCACTACCTACAGTCATCGTCTATTAATTCACAAATGGGTTTAAAATAAGGATAGTCAAATATTGATTATAACATTTTGATAAATTATTAAGGATTTCAGAACAGAAGAAATTTCAACAAATTACAAAATAAGTGGATAAAAGCTATCCTAGCCTAGCAGGTAAAATAAAATAACAAAAATAACAGTTATTCACCTAACAAATGCAGAAGTCAATCGATCCTTAATTGGGCCGTTGCCTAATTAAAATGCAGAAGTGATACTTTACCGCAGGCAACGGCAGTCTAAGTGCGGTAATAGTTATTTACCTAACAAATGCGGAAAGTGATACTTTACCGCACGCAACGGCAGTTAAGGGCGGTAAAGGCACCTTCCGCATATGTTAGGTAGAAAATTTCACCTATGAGCATCTACATCTCCAAAAAAAGGCATTGATAAAATTAATTAATGAATCAGATTAATTAATGAAATTAGATAAGATTTAGAAATGATCAAAAATCCATTTTCTGAAAAAGAGAGGATTTTTGCTGTAAAGTTAACTTTACCGCAGACACTATGCGGTAAAGTGCACTTTACCGCATAGTGTGCGTTTAAGTGATACTTTCCATTTGCAAATACGTGCGGTAAAGTGCACTTTACCGCACGCTCGTAGGTAATAGCTATTTACCTAACAAGTGCGGAAAATGAATTTTTCCGCACGCGGCTGCCTGTAAAGTATCACTTTCCGCATTTGTTAGGTAAATAACTATTCCGCACTGACAGCCGTGCGGAAAAACTTTTTCCGCACTGATATGCGTGCGGTAAAAGTTTTACCGCACCGTGCGGGAAAACTCATTTTCCGCACGCATATCAGTGCGGAAAATCGATTTTTCCGCACGGCTGTAGGAAAAGGCATTTTACGCATGTGTTAGGTACAAAAGTATACATATGAGCATCTATATTTCATTTTAACACATGAGCATCTATATATTTACCAAAGAATGCATTATTGAAATTTCTGAATGAGAAAGGATTTTTGAGTGTACCTGAGCACCGAATCTATAGGTTTTTTACGTTATATTTAGGATGACGTCAGAAAACAAGGACTGACAATGTTGTCAATGTCTATTTGTTTTCTTATCATTTACCAGAATCTCATAGTGAATTATCAAGACCCTTGACAGCTAAAAATAACGAAATGAATCGACACCGTAATTTATCTGAAAATGTTCATTTAAATCATACAACATCGCGCGCCGTTGCCAACCAGAAACATCTAAAATTCCCCTACTTTAAATGCGTTGGGAAGTAGTTTTAGTTTTGTTAGATTTGCAGCAGAAATTTACTAAATGTGATGTCATCCTAAACATAGCGTGAAAATCCTATACTTCACCGCATACTATGCAGTCTACTTTACTGCATATTTTCACACTATGCTTTAAAATGGTCATGACCAATGGTCACATTGAATGTGACGTGACGGTCATGACCCACCGTCATGCGCGCTGATCATGACGCACTAACATCACTGACGGCAACCTTATTCTGTAACTTGCAACCAAGAGAATTGCGCAATTATCGCTGTCCAGTCGCTGTCAAACGCGAGTTTTCTATTCAAAAAATGCAAACTTGCAACCGGTTGCTGGTTGCTATGTAGTTGCAGTTCGTAAAGAATAGGCCTGCGGGACCTACTTTCTGATAGAGCCTATTATGATTTGAACGAGTATTATCAAGACAGATTTTAGGCAATGATTTTAGGCAATGATTAGCATGTTTCTAACTTTGTATGTTTTGAATAACTGTGATAGAATGGGTTTCTTTTTTAATTTTATTATTTTGTTCGGTATTTGTACTTATTTAAACCTGAGTTTTAAACTTTATGTAATTGTAGTGTCTTTCTATTTAATAAGTAACTTATTCAGTCGTGGAGTTTATAGTTTTATGCAAGGAAATACTCAATAAGTTAGGTACCCATATATTTTTTATTATATTAATTTGTACATTTACCAAAGATCAATTTAGATTTAGATTTAATCTCGACTTTTAAAGTTTGTGTAAACTATGGTGTCTTTTTTTGTCTTATTTAAAACTAATTTATCGTTAATATTAATCTGTAATTTTATTTGATCAGATGGTTATTCTTACCGTTTATTGTAACTGTCAGCAAAGCACAGTCTATTTTTTTTAAATATACTGTGCTTTAGCTAAATATTAGAGCTGTTAAATTTTCTTCCTGTTTCCGACGGTTTTTAAATAGTTTTGTTAGTTGTTAAGTTTTGCTTTGTCCACAAAACAATTTGTAATGTTTTTATGACAATAAAGCACACTATCTATCTATCTATCTAGAATGGTGGATCCATCGGTGAAATTTGATGAGAATAAAAACGCAGGGTTTTTCTCCAAACATCAAAAAAAGGTCACTTTGTTAATTAATTTCTATGCTGCTAGGCACTCAGCGGGTTAACACCTGTCGAGGTCGTAGAAATTTAATTTCTATGCTGCTAAGCAACCGCAACGGCATTAAAATTACTTTTAGTGCCGCTGGAGTGGCAGCAAAATTACTTTTAGTGCCGCTCGTACTTTTACTGCTGCTCAACCCGAGGCTCGACCATTCAAGTTACCCCCGAGCTTACCCCATTCGTTTGGAGAAAATTAGCGTGTTACATACGGAGTAGAAGCACTTTTTTATGCGTCAGCACAAAAAAATAAAGCTTCTACTCCTAATACAACAATTATACTATTTTGTGTTGGTGGAGGTCTTTGGTTGGTGGCAAGATCAAGATAGTATCAACAGTTCATTGGTATCAACACCAGCAATGTCATAGTGACTCTGTGACAGTGACCTCTCATCTCATAAATGAAAATTGCTGGTGATTATACTTGATCTGCACTTTCTACACTCTTCTTACCTGGCTAAAAATTTGTCACTATTTTGGTTGGTTACTACTGTCGTGGTTTTAATTAGTACACTATCCCAAGCATTGATTACATCTCGGAATCTCCTACAAATCAGTCTTAATCGACTCAAGTCTCGTACATCCAAAAAATTGAAAATGTAAATTAATAATTCAGTGGACAAATCATCGAAACAACATTGAGACATTAGAAAATTTGCTGAAGCAATCAAAAACGTATATATATTTTATATAATTGGAGTTAATTATATTTTAAATTAAGTAACAAGTTGAAAGTTCTAAGTTCTACTAAACAAAAACAAACAAAAAAGCCTAACCTATAATAATTTAAATGTCAACACTTCTTGATTCTTGTCAACAACAGCCAGCTGTAGTTCGGCTTTACACTCCAGCTAAAACGAACAGGAGCAGATCGGCGAGAGTATCGAGCGTACGGTAATCCGAGTGATTTTCGTACTACCGTGCGCTTGATACGTGCCGAGGTCGGGTACACCGAATGCGGGTTACTGGACGCTCGATACAAACATGCACCCCGCATGCGTCATCAAGTTACCCGTTACCAGACAACATATTTACCTTTAGGAACCTTGGGCTGTATCCTCGAATGGCGGCATGCGCAGAAGAGATGCGCGAAGCGCGTGAGAGTTATCTGCTGTTTGTTTTTGAGTTTTTGTATATACTGTGCTAATGGTACTGCTTATTGAGCTGAAAGTGTCCACGAGACCACAGTATTTCTGACGTCAGCTGCAGAGCTAACTGTCGGCAGAGAATGCATTATCCGAGTCCAAAAAACGAATTTATAAACGTTGAAATCGCCTTTTCTAAATTTGAAATTCCCAAAAAAATAACTCACAAGCACAGCCTGAATCGCCACCAATCCACCGAGGCATGCGGGTGACGTTGCCACGATCAGCTGCTCATAATGGTAAATGGTGACGTCACTTGCAGACCAGCTGCCTACTCGAGAATTGGCGAGCGTACGCCTTATTAGGATAAGCAATCCTGCGGATAATGAAAATGAGGTTCAGCTCTCAGAAACACCTGCTAAAAAACGTAAAAAACACAGATACAAGATTTAATAATAAAATTTCTATTTCCTATGGATGTAAAATCATGTCTACTTTATCAAAAATCTATTAAAGAACATTTTTGTGCAATATTTTTTCACAAGCAATTTTAGGTTTCACGATTTCTCACGATTTTCCTTTCTCGATTCTCACGATTTTTTTAAATTTCATCTGGCAACACTGGTTAAGGTATGTTATCGCTTGTGCGTCTGGCGGTTGCGTCGGGCAGCCGCTGCCTGCGGCAGCCTACTGATTCAATGCGTTTTATCATAACCGTTTTCGCTTATGCGTCTCAGCGGTTATAGACCGTCAGATAGTGACATATTTAGGTGCCCCATTTTCGCATACAAGCCTCAAAGAGGGTTGAAAAGTACATCGATTTTGAGTAGGATGAAGGTATTTTTACGAATGACTTTTGGGGATAACGTATGGAAAATTCGATTTTCCGTAACAGAAATGAAAGACGTCCTAGTGCCCATATTTTCTCGCAAGCCGTGTTCACCAAACGATTAATTGATAAAACCTGGCTTCGTGAAAACTTAGAAAGAGGTGTTGCAGGAGGTGGCTACAGGTTTGAAATAAGGGCGAAATCTTGTAAGGAAAAATCAAGATTTTGGGCGATTTTTCCACACTAGCCCATCGGAAGGATGAAAATCTATAACTTCGGTAACAAGAAAACATATTTTCTTGAGTATCGCTGATGGAAAAGTACATTCAAGGGTAACATAAGTAAAAACCAATTTTCCATGTTATCCCCAGGAGCCACTCGTAAAAATACCTTCAACCTACTCAAAATCGATGTACTTTTCAACTTTCTTCGAGGCTTGTATGCGAAAATGGGGCACCTAAATATGTCACTATCTGACGGTCTATTATGATAAAACGCATTTAATCAGTAGGCAGCCGTCGGCCAAGGATGATACACACTACTACTACAGGATGGCCTATCCTCATAAGGCCTGTGTGTAACAAATCCCCCCCTTCCCCCCTACTTCAAACAACCAGTTGTGACGTAAGCAGCATGGCGTTTCTCGCCTTGACGTAGGCTGTTAAACAGCTGACGACTTAGTTATGACGTCGGCAATGGTTGAAAACAAATATGGCGGCGATTACCAAAAACGAGACCGATAAGCACTCCTTAGAATGTGTATTCTCCTTGGCCGTCGGCGGCAGCTGCCCGACGCAACCGACAGACGCACAAGCGAAAACATACCTTTAGCCTGTCAGTTTTGTTTGAGAGTTTGTTTATTTGTTGGTTATCAGTTGCGGTTGAGGTTAAAGGAACGTTTTCGAAAATCTGGATTTTGTTCTATTTTTCTAAATTTTCAACAAAACTATGGGTGATACAAACAAAAAAATTGTGTACGTTGGTGGTTTGGCTGAAGAAATAACTGACAAAATTCTAAAAGCTGCGTTTATTCCTTTCGGCGATATTATCGACATACAAATACCACTGGATTATGAATCAGAAAAACACAGGGGCTTTGCGTTTATCGAGTTTGAAGCCACAGAAGATGCTGGCGCGGCCGTGGATAACATGAACGATGCGGAACTATTTGGTCGAACCATCCGGGTCAATTTGGCGAAACCACAAAGGATAAAAGAAGGTTCAACGAGGCCCGTTTGGTCTGAGGATACCTGGCTTCAAAAACATGCTGGAGAAACCATTAAAGATAAAGGAGATGATATGGAAACATCTAGTGAAACCACTACTACCACTAGCGTCAGTGAAGCCACAGAAGAATCAATTCCTAAAAAAATCACTAACCCGCAAGTCTATCTTGACATTAAAATAGGAAAAACGGAAATAGGTCGTATTACCATAATGCTGCGAGCTGATGTAGTACCCAGAACTGCGGAAAACTTTCGTTGTCTTTGCACCCACGAAAAGGGCTACGGTTTTCAAGGAAGCATGTTTCATAGAATCATTCCAGACTTCATGTGCCAAGGTGGCGATTTTACCAACCACAATGGCACTGGAGGAAAATCAATATACGGTAGAAAATTTGCTGATGAAAATTTCCAACTAAAGCACACAAATCCAGGTACCTTGTCAATGGCAAATTCTGGACCCAACACCAATGGATCTCAGTTTTTTATTTGTACAGTCAAAACCGAGTGGCTGGATGGAAAACATGTTGTTTTTGGACACGTTATTAGTGGCATGGATGTGCTTAAGAGGATGGAGAGGTGCGGAACAAAAGCCGGAAAGCCTACTGATAAAGTGACAATAGCTGCTTGTGGTGAAGTACAATAAAAGTGAAAATAATGAAAGTTGTATTTCATCATTTTATACCATTTAAATAAAAGTTAAAATTTTCAATAATTTTTATTTTGCAACTACATAAGTATATAAGTACCTATGTATTCTATCTTCAAGATTGCTAGAACACTATAATGCTATAATATTATAAGGAAGAAATACAATTTTCAAAGTCTTGCCTCACAGCCTACCCTACAGAGATCACACCCAACTAACATCTTTGTTTTTTTTTTTTGTAAATATTGGGCCGAGTATTGGGCATTTATTCTTATTTTATATTTTAATATGTAGTAACCCTAAATAAGAAACTTTTTTCTAAGCAGACTACAAATCTCTAACTACTTAGTGGCTTCTTTAAAATATTGCCAAGATTGTCTTCCACAAAAATTGTTCTGGAGATCTTGCTTTTGAGAGCCTCATCAGGAATCCTGAAAGAAAATTTCAGAACTTTTCCTTCAAATGTCCAATTAAACATAATCATTTCGTCTGGTTGTTTTCTTATTTCTACTACTCTTATACCTGCAGTGGACTGTATAAATTTACTAGAAAAATCATATGAAAGAGTTATAGAGTTGCTGTGACAATAATTATTGAACCATCTAAAATAATTAATTAAATAATACGCATATGTATAAAAAATATTACCACTTACTTATGGTAAGCCAATATTACAGCACAACTTTTAGTCAAAACAGTCCAATCATTGTCTTCAATTTTTTTAATAACTTGAAAATCTTTTCTTTTGGATTCATTATGCAGTCTTTCTGAAAGCATATCAGACTCAAACTCTTCCTTAAACTCAATTTGAGCTTGAAATGCTTTAAAATGCTCTTCCTGATTATCATCATCTTCAAAAGTGAAAAATTTGCTTATATTATCAAAACCTCTACCCATTACACCAGTTTTGGTATGTCCAAGATCAAAAGTATGATATAGCTCGTGTAGGACAGAGCCAAGAGTTGTTGAGAAACATGAACCCTGTGTACCTCTGTAAAAGTATTTGTAAATAATGTGAACATGTCTTTCTTCATAAAAGATTTACCTGTAACAGCTATCATCCAAAAACTTCATTTTATCAACCACAGTGCTGTCTTCAAACTTAGTAATAACTTCATCGAATTCTTCAGCCCATGTATATAGGCAAGCAGTTCCAAACAAAGCTAACCCACCTCCTCCTAAAGCTACATAGGCCTCAGTTATGCCAAGAATATCTTCGTGAGTTTTCATAGTTTCCTCAGAAAACTTATAACCATTGTAATTTGTACAGGAAAGGAACGCCAAATATTTCTTTTTCTCAGATGCGTGTTTTGAATTCATTATATCTCGACCTTGAAATGCTCACACAATATAACTAGGCTTATTTATCAATTTGTTACCTACCGATACTTTCCCATAACTTTTCTTGACTCATTCTTCTCGCATCCAAATAATCCACTTTACTTTTAAAAACTTGGCACTTGTTTTCTAATGTAAATGTCTTACGTCCTAAACCATTTTCAAGTAATTTTTCGGCTGTAAAGCATTGCAGCAGTCTTGAACATAATAATATCCTGTTGCAGGCACTTTCAACATCATTTTCCACATTTGAAGGAGCTAGAAATGTGTAGCTTATTTATGCAAAAATAAACAGTGTTACATGAAAATATACCTTGATATTTTCCATCGTGTCCCTCACATATCACATACATAGGCATCACAGTATATTCTGAATTTGAAGGGCAATAATCTAAACTTAATGTTAAAGTCTGAGAATCAAATTTAAATTCAAACTTATTTCTGCCCTCTGATAATTGCAATAATATTTTGAATTTCTGGTTTTTTATATTTATTAACTTTTCTATGTTTTGGTTTTGTAGAATTAGTACAAGTTTTGCTGGTTTGCCAATATGCAGACATGTTTTTGATTCTTTGCACTGGATAAGGCCTACAACTCTCACAATGGGATACGTAACAGTATCTCTTGATGGAAAATTTAATATTTGAATGGTGTGGCAGCAAGTTTTAGGTGAACTCTGAAATTGAAATATTGTTTGCATAATTTGAGTCAACACAAAATGAAATGTTTATCCAAAATATGCAATGGTGAAGGGTAAAGCAGCTAGGTCGATAAATTCATTGGTTTATTTCTTCTTGGCAACAGTGCACAAAAAGTCCCAAAAAAGCGATGTTTTCCATATTAAGTTTATCACACTTCACACTGTGTGTAGCAAATATACCGGGTGGGCCAGCAAAAACGAAACAAGGTCGATATCTCGTATTGATCGTTCACTGAAAAAACGCGCTGGGACCCGTCGATTTTTATTCGGAGGGGGAAATCTTTTGCACATATTTTCAATGTTGTCACTTCAACCCTCTCGCGGGGGTAAGCGCCAACCCCTAAATCTTAAATGGCAGCAGGGGTCGAGCGATACCTCATTTTAAAGGTCATCGAATTCTCTTTTCAACAGTGCCTATTTTTTTAAAAAAAAAAAAATCTATCTATTCAAGGTGTTTCCATTGACTGTTTCAAACTGGTTTTGAACCAATGTGAAAAAAGTGGACGCGAACGGCTTAGATGTTTTTTTAGTGTTTCAATTCAAATTAAAAATACTTTACATGAATGTATGATACTTGTACAGGGTGTTTCCTTATATTTTGACCCACAGCTTTAGCTGTACAAGATGGAAAAAAACTTTAAATATGAAAGTTGTAGGGTTTTATGTCTATTATCTTTTGCGAATGTCAAAATGGGCAAATGACAGGTGTCAACTGCCACAATGACAAACACTTGCATTTTTCAAATGGAACACCCTGTATATTTTTAGATACCATACCATGTTGACATTTGGTTCAGCTGTTTTTCCACTATTCAAGTTTAAAAATGCATTCACATTACCCTTAACTTAATTTGTCCTGGGCTTGGACTCTGTAACGAATAGAGACATTTTCTCTATCTTTAATGATGTCTCCTTTCTATTGATATCGAAAAGATAGAAGACAGCAAGTGCCATAGTGATAGGGATAACGATCTCTATCCATTACAGAGTCCCAGCCCTGGTTTCTTATATCAATGATGAGGCTTGCTCAAAGCAATTTCAAAATTAAATAGCACCAAAACACCTGAACCAAATATCAACACATATGGTATATTTGGAATCAGAAGAAAAAAAGCTATCATTCTAGCCAAAAGTATACAGGGTGTTCCATTTGAAAAATGCAAATGTTTGTCATTGTGACAATTGGCACCTGTCATTTGCCTGTTTTGACATTCACAAATGATAATAGATATTTTCTACTACTTTTCTCATATTTAAAGTTTTTTTCCACCTCGAATAGCTAAAGCTAAAGGTAGGGGTCAAAATATGAGGAAACACCCTGTACCTACACCTACTGCATGAGAGTCGAGAGAAACACCCCTCGAAATTCACCTTTATAGGTAGGTAAGTATATGTAGGTACCTACTACAAAATATTTGATTCTTTACCATTTTAAAATGTTCCCATCATATTTTCATTCATTCATTTCATTAAGTTACTTTGATCCTCTGCATTTGTGGCTAATTGGTCACCACTTTTGCTGTTAAGTACTCCCACAAAAACTCTACTTCTTAAGTTGGAGTAGTATCCCCTAATTCCCCTACATAAGTATTTGGTTGCTGTGATTCAGTATTTGTTTTATTTTTATTGTTGATGTTGGATAATTTCGATTCCCCTATCGCGAGGGCTGTGGCGAGGGTGTCGCGGACCGCCGACGTCTAAGGCCGCTTTCACACACACTCGTAAATTCCTCCGGACTCCGGCACCGGTTTCGAGTTTCAATAGATCTGTTTCTGCAAAAATCATAAACCAGTCAGAGCTGAGGTTTGTGGCTGAAATAGCAGACAACTTTCAGCTTAATAATCATTCCGCGCTGTGTTCCGCCTAATCCCTCGAACCGGTACGCAGGGTTTTGAATCTCTCCGGAACGGATCTGTCCGATTCTAGTTCAACCGCGAACAAAGATCTGTCAAATTCGGAATAGGATCCGCAAACAAATGGAACTGGCTGGCGTGCGAGAATAACCGAATTAAAACATTCGATGCGTAGAAGTTTCCCAGTCGAAGGCAAATTCGAACCGTGAACGCATGGTAACGAACGAGAAATTGATCATGAACACACGAATCCGCTACATCAGCTGTCTGCAAGAACAATGGTAGGATACGAAAACTCTCGCTGGAGGTGACGTCAGCTGCAGTCCTTTATTGTTGCGTTTGCTTGAATGCATCATTCATCATTGAATGCATGGAATAGGGAACAATCATATTTTTCAAAGTATTTTTTTTCTTATTGCTTATGTTTTCAAATATAAAATGTATATGTTTTTTTTTGTTTTATGTCCTCATTGAAATAAAAAAATTATTTTGAATTTCAAATTATTTTCGTTGGCGCGAAAACGATTACCTTCAAGATGGTGGCATTTGTGACGTCAACTGTCTGTAAACACAACGTTAAGGTCTGTTCTCACAAGAGCCTTTGATACTTTGCAAACTGTCGGAAAGAAATTAAAAAAAGAATGCTAGAGTTTTTAAGTAGAAAGAACCTGCTGAGTGCTTGTCAATATGGCTTTCAGAGTTCTAAAGGTACGAATGATGCAATTTTTGCCTTCTTAGAAAACATTTATTTTAGGATAAATAACAAAGAATTTGCAGCTGCCGTTTTCATTGACTTTTCAAAGGCATTTGATTGTGTTAATCATGAATTGCTCTTGAATAAGCTGCAAATTTACGGATTTAGAGAAAAATCTCTTTTAATTTTTAAATCTTACTTGGACGAAAGATACCAAATGGTTAAAAATGGAGAGTCATCGTCGACTCTAATGCCGGTAGATACTGGGGTCCCACAGGGGTCTGTACTTGGGCCAATTCTTTTTTTAATATATCTTGAAGATCTGTTGAAGTTAGTGATTGAAGGTGCTTTTACGACTTTTGCCGACGACAATACAATTACTTGGAGTCATAAGGATTTGCAAGTTTTAAAGCAAATGGTTGCTAATGATTTGGAGAAAATTAGGTTATGGTGCGACTCTAACTTTCTGTGTTTCAATATTGACAAAACTAAGGTCTTAAGTTTTAAGTTCGATTTTGATGACCTTCAATTGGGTCAACTGTCAATATCACAAAGTGAAAATACAAAATTTTTGGGAATTCATATTGACAGCAAACTAAAGTTTACAACTCATATCGAGAACTTGAACAAAAAAGTTGCAATGGGCAGTTACGCAGTTAGACTAACCTTCTGGGAATTGGGTACACAAATGGCTAAAACAACGTATTACGCCTTAGTCGAATCGAATTTGCGCTATGGTGTAGCTTTCTGGGGAAATTGTTGCCAGAATTTATTTGAGTCCGTTTTTATTATGCAAAAGCGATGTGTGAGATATCTGTGTGGGGCCGGATTGAGGGACCACTGTAAGCCCCTCTTCAAAAAAGAGAGGATTTTGACATTGTCTGGATTGTTCATATTGGAAACTGTGAGCTTAATTTTCAAAAAATATAAAGATGTCACTCATGCTTATTTTTATCAAACCAGAAATCACAATGATATTCCTCTTCCTATTCCTAGTTCCAGCCTTACACAAAACTCCATTATTTATAGAAGTGTAAAAATCTTTAATAAGTTACCACCAGAATTTAAATCTGTTGATAATTTCAAAAAATTTAGAAGAAAAGTAAGGGATTGGTTGACTGATAGGGCATACTACTCTATAAATGAGTATCTCTGTGATCATTATTAATTTAAAATTTTACTATCTGCCAAAAAGACACACATTATTATTCCTTGAGTCTGATTTGCACTTTAAATTTTATTTATTTCTATTTATTTTAAGTTTATTTATTTTCTATTTTTTATTTTAAATTCTTGTGTGTGTAACAACTGTAAACGTTTTTAGGTACGTATTTTAATCAACAATTAAGTGTAATCAGTGTGTATGATTTTAATTGTAATGTATTTTTATTTTTTTAATCTTACCATGCCAAACGATGTTCCTATTTTGTTTTGTTGTCCCTTTGAAGATGTTTGGATGGTAGTTTTTGTTGTTTTCGGTTTCATCTGTATAACTCTATATATCCCTACCTCGTTTAATGTTATGCTATTTTTATTTTGAAAGTTTAGGTTTAGGAATTACTGGCTTTGTCAATGGATTTATTTTTTTACGACAATAAAGCATATTTTGATTTGATTTGATTTGAATCGCTTAGCTTGAACCTTCGACTGCAGTGAAACTTGAAAGCGGTTATTTATGCGGTATTCCCATATTTAGTGCCATATTGTGACATTTTGTGTTTCAAATAGTTCATCATGGTTGATACAGGATTTACAAAAGCGCAGTCTGACAATCTTCCCTCTATAGACCCGTTTATGGTGGTTCAATATCAGTCGTGGCGTGACGTGAGCTGATCGTGGACCAATCGTTCCACGATTCAAGAGTGAACCACGAAAGTGTGGACCGTGGAATTTCGGTCAGTGTAAACTACCCTTAACCTTAAATTACGAACAGTTGACGTCACTGGAAGCGGCCATGTTAAACGTAACTTTTCCGCGCGAAACTTTTCAATTTAAAACTAATAATTGCCATATGACTATAATGTCCATAAATTTAATACAAAACTGCTCATATTCAATATTTTACACAAAAATGTGCACCATAATAACAAAATAAAAGCCATATTTATTTCTTATGAAAATTCCCTATTGATGGGAAACTTGCAGGCAGTATTGTCTAAAGATTGCAACCATATTTTGATATTAACAAATGCAAAAATTAAATCGTTATAACATCCTTGTGTCTTTTGACAAACAAAGAATCACATTATGGAACATTTGGCCAAGGATGATGTATATAACAGCCGTGTGCTTTATGGCATAAACTCTCTAATTTCCTCTCTACACGTAGATTTTCTTTTCATACTGTTGGTAGATTTGTCTTTCAAATATTATCTGTAATTCATTCTAATTATCGTTCTTAGTTTGCAAACATTTAAATTAAATGGCGAATCTCTTTCCATTTTGAATATTTATCTTGCCCAGTTTTGTATCATTCAGTCTTTTTCAAAACAAATCTCCGTGGTGGAATTCAAAATAAATGTTCCATTTTTCAATTTTTTATGGACATAACGTTTGTTAAGGTCAAAATCAAGGTTGTTTAAAACCAAGGAGAATACACACCCTAAGGAGTGCCTATCGGCCTCGTTTTTGGTAATCGCCGCCATATTGGTCTTCAACTGTTTTCAACCATTGCCGACGTCATAACTAAGTCGTCAGCTGTTTAAACAGTCTACGTCAAGGCGAGAAACGCCATGCTGCTTACGTCACAACTGGTTGTTTGGCCTGGGAGGGTAGGGGGGGATTTGTTACGGCTTTATGAGAAATAGGCCATCCTGTAGTAGTAGTGTGTATCATCCTTGGTTTAAAACGAGGTTGCCTGATAACTTTTATGACGTCATCTGTATGCCTCAACAGAATTCAAATCTCCATAAGGCACCCCAGCGTGCCCCAGCTGTAGGATTCTCAATCGTTAAGTCGATACGTAACGTCCCGACTCCTTGTAGAAAAGCAATGCGAAGTCGGGGTCGATAGGTTGCGACTAGGAGGTTGAGAATTGGGGGGCAGATACGTCATTGAATTTTTTTTGCCGTAAACCCACAACACTTCCTATTCATACAACTGTTAAGGGCGCAAACCTTCTACAATTATACGTCATAAAGTTACCCATTACCAGATAACCTAATGAACTTTAGGAACCTTTTAGGACAAAATGTACAGCTGTTTTTAATTTTGAGTGAGAAGCCATGAGACTTTTGACGTTTTGTTGACAATGACAGTATCATTCGCCAGGGGTGCGTTCAAGGACGGCAATGCTAATGCCAAAACCTACTTTTCCCCCTCCACCGGTAATGCCGATCCATCATGCAGAGCTGGGCAGGGCTTGAGTGCTTTGTGCTTGCGAAAGTGCTTGAAGCACTTTGAGGACTTGAAAGCCCTGTGCTTCAAGCCCTTTTATAGATTTGTAATTGGGGCTTGCAAAGTCAATTACTTTAGAAAAGTGCTTGGTAATTTGTAATTGGAAAAAGTAATTCAAGCCCTTTCAATGAGCTTCAATTACTTTTAGAGGGCTTGAAGCACTTTTGGGAGCTTGAAGCCCTTTAAAAGGGCTTGAAGCACTTTAAGAGGGCTTGAAGCACTTTTGGGAGCTTGAAGCACTTTGAAAGGGCTTGAAGCACTTTAAAAGGGCTTGAAGCACTTTGAAAGGAATTTGAATTGACCATCATTCAACCTATCCCCCACTTAAAAATTTTCGATCGTATTTTGTCCTTTAATTTTTTTTTCTATTATTTGAACTTGAACCGTCTTATGTCTTTTCTCTCTTAACAATGGAGGTTTTGGGTTTGAGCTTAGAATGGAATTAAAAAAAACATTAATGAACTCATTATTCAAATAAATAATTAATTTATATTGGTAACCTATTTAACTTTATCGCTGGATTTTTTTCACTTTTCCCCATCAAACATTTTGAAAACCTTAAAATTGAATTACCATGTAGTACCCCAACTACCCCAAGTACCCCAGAACTACATCTCAAAAAAAACATACTACTGCTACTCTGTGAAACGTAAAGTTCGTCTCTACTATACCAATTCTGTGTGCTGAGTGTGCGCGGTAGCTTATGCCACTTTGAGAATTTTATTACAAATTCAAAGTGCTTCAGGCACATATAAACAGCTTCAAGCACATTTAAAGAGCTTGAAGCACATTTAAAGAGCTTGAAGCCCTTTTCAAGGCACCCCAAGCACTTTTGATGTGCTTCAAGCACTTTTCAAATAACTTTGAGGGCTTTGTGCTTGTGAAGCACTTTTGAAAATAAAAAGGAATTTGTGCTTGAAATTGAAGCACTTTGATAGAGGGCTTAGGGCTTAGTGCTTCAAGCCCTTTTACTGAGGGCTTTGCCCAGCTCTGGAACCATGTAATAGGTTGGAGCCGAACTCGAACGCAAAATGCCAATTTTGGTTGGCTGTAGCCATTCCTGAACGCAGCCCAGTGCGTTCGAAAACACACAGATAAATCCTCAAGTAAGGGCGGGTATTATAAAACTGCTTTGACAGTTAACTTAAAGTTAACTTTCTGAATTACGAATTACATGTAATTCCAGAAGTTAACTCTAAGTTAACTCTCATAGTAGTTTTATAATACTTGCCCTAAATATTATAGCCTCAAACCTCATTATTTCAGAAATTTGGTTTTTGTGCTTCAAGTATTAGGTGACGGTCTCAAATACGCAAAGAAAATAATCCAACCTTCTGCGAAGCATACAGACTGGTAAAAAAAATAAAACTGTCAAAAATAGCAGTCTTGCCTATCTCTAGTCAACATAATTTTTCAAATTGTGGCACGTAACTAACCGAGTGTCTTTGACCTCAAAAGTTAAATTTGACGTGCGCTTTCTGTTTTGAAAGGAAAAATCAGGGGTGAGAGCGGGTATATGGTCACGTGGTCAGAAGAGTAAATTTTAGGTCTGTTTTTGCAGAAATCACAAACCAGTCAGAGTGAATTTCATTGATTGAAACTAGTTTTCTGTGAATCCAATCGCCACTGTTACAATACGTTCGAATATCAGAGCCGTAGTGTCACACATTTGAAATTTATTTACATTCCCAGTCCTCCCTCCACAAATTATGAGAAACAGAACGCCGTCCAGCGCCTGCATAAATTGAAATCTTACAGAAATGTTCACTGTCCTTCAACGTGTTAAAAATCACCTTTTCTACATTTGAAATCGACGAAAAAACAAGCACAACCTGAATCGCAAGCATACCATCGAGGCCTGCGGGTGACGTCACCAATCCTAATACTGGTGAGGTCACTCGCATGCCCTGCTGATTCGAGAATTGGCAAACGTATGCCTTATGAGGATGAGCAATCCTGTTAGTTCACGATTCTTAAGCCTGGCCTACATACGATGTTTTTTGAAAAGAAGAAAGGATATAATAAATTCCTTAGATAAATTCAATGTTGCGAGTGTGGCGACATCCGTCAAACATCTGCGATGTTTAATTCTACATCAATGGTTCATCAACGACGTCATTGGATGGCGCCAATTTCATTGTTGTTTGCCCTTGGCCGCCATATGGATTGGATTGCACTATCAAAAAATCAAAATCATAACAAAAGAATCTTCTATAATAACAAAAAATAAACAATAAGTCAAAATTTCTATTATTCTTTATTCTATTTCTATTTACCTAAAAATGGAACAAAACTGTGATATCGAAGAAACTACCGAGGATATTTATTTATTAGCCGAGCAGAAAATTCAGTTTGGAGAAAACCTAAGGCGATTTATTGACCAGCATGGCAAAATAGATGGTTTGCAAAAACTCAGTCGAAAAATTAATCAGGAATTAAAATTTCTGGGAAAGGTTTGTGTACCCTTGTAGTAAAAGAACCTTTAGAATTAAGGCTTTAATAAGCTAAAATTCAATACAGTATTTTCTGACAATAACTGACAACATGACATACAACATACAGGTACATAAATATAGGGAACACAGTAAATAGTAAAGTAATGAAATATATAACATTCTTCCTCGCTCATTTTGTGACATAATCTTGAAGATATGAAGGTGGCCTATGATTTCTCTTTACCAAAACACAACTGGATTCATCAGTAGGTTTCACTGGAGGATTTTCATTGTGTGATTGTTCAGAATTTTGGGGAAGAGAGCAATTTGAATCATTCAAAGGGAACGAAGATGACAAACGTTCTGAACTGACTGATGTAAGGTTTTCTTCAGGAATAGTTAATTCATTCTTATCTTGTTCTGGTAGTGTTATGGTATTTTGATCTTGTTCTGACAGTGTCACATCTCCCCTTGGTGCTAAATGACGAGTTGATACAGTCATTTCTCTACCATTGGATAATCGTACATGAGCATAATCTGAATTTGCTTCCAGAAGATCCACTTCTTCTACTAGTGGATCAAATTTGCTATGTCTAACATGTTTCTTTAGAAAAACTGGGCCTGGGGTGCTCAACCAAGTAGGCATTGAGGTACCATTAGTCGATCTTCTAGGATGGTTGAACATGCGTTCATGAGGTGTTGAATTAGTCGCAGTACACAAAAGGGATCTTATTGAATGTAGAGAATCGATTAAAACATCTTGCCATTGTTTTACTTCAAGGTTTCTAGATTTAACCTTAAGTTGAATAGTTTTCCAAATTGTTCCATTAATTCTTTCACATTGTCCATTTCCCTCTGGATTGTACCCAGTTGTACGACTTGTGGCAACACCATGACTTGTTAAAAATGATTTCACATCAGCAGATAAAAAAGATGCTCCTCTATCGCTGTGAATATAACCTGGTGTGCCAAACATTGAGAATAGTTGAGTCAAACAGTTTATTACCGTTGCAGATGACATATCCGAACATGGAAATGCAAACGGAAATCTTGAATATTCATCTACAATGTCTAGTAAGTATTTGTTTCTATTATTGGAAGGTAACGGTCCTTTAAAATCAATGTTTAATCTTTCGAATGGTGCTATGGCTTTGATAAGAGTTCCTTTGTTTTTATGAAATCTCGGCTTTATCTCTGCACAAACCGGACATGCGGATATAACTCTTTTGATGTCTTCTAGTGAATAAGGTAAATTTTTGCATCTAATCCAATGATAGAATCTTGTGACACCAGGATGACACATCGCGTTGTGTAAATTATACAAAGTTTTGTCTGATGTTGTTGGTTGAATAGCAGCAGATATCCTGGAAAGTGTGTCAGCTACAATGTTTTGATTTCCTGGCCTGTATATAATATCAAATTTGTAACATGATAATTCTATTTTCCAACGCAATATTTTCTCATTTTTGATTTTTGATGAACTCTTATTATCAAACATAAATGCAACGGATCTTTGATCAGTTATTATACTGAAATGTCGTCCCATTAAATAATGCCTCCATTTTCTTATAGCTTCGATTATTGCGTATGCTTCTTTTTCTATACTGGAATGATTTTGTTCTATTTTTGTTAAGGTTCTTGAGAAAAATGCGACAGGTTTACCATTTTGTGTCAGTTGAGCACCAATAGCAAAATCAGAAGCATCTGTTTCTACTGTAAATGGAACCTTTTCGTCGATGAATATTACAACTGCATCAATAATATCTTGTTTCAGCCTTTCAAATGCATGAATTTGTTCTCTGTTCATGGGAAAAGTTTTCACGTTTACAATGGGATGTATCTTTTCAGAAAATTTGTATATAAATTTTGAGTAGTGTGCAAACATACCTTGTACTCTTCTGAGAGAAGCAACATTTGTAGGGGCTGCTAAATTGATTAATGGCTGTAGTCTATCCGCATCTGGTTTTATGGTTTTTTTTTCTATTGTATATCCAAGAATATTGATAGTTGTCATTGAAAATTTGCATTTCTCATCGTTTAATGTTAGATTATACTTTCTTGTAATATTCATAAATTTCTCTAAGTTTTTGTCATGTTCTTCTTTTGTTTTTCCACATATTGTAACGTCATCCAAAAATGCATATGTATCAGATAGTCTTTCATTATCTATGATATTGTTAATTATACGTTGAAAACATGCTACTCCATTTGTGACACCAAATGGAATTCTTGTGAATTGATACAAGTTGTTACATGCTTCAAAGCCAGTGTAAATTCGCTCACTTTCCAAAATAGGTATTTGATGGTACGCACTACGTAAGTCTATAGAACTAAAATATTCATATTGCGAAACTTGGCTAATAATTCTATCAATATTAGGTAGTGGATATGCATCTAATAAAGTGAACTTGTTGATTGTCAACGAGTAATCAACAACCATGCGTTTCTTATGATTTACGTTACTTGCAACCAATACTTGTGCTCTCCACGGTGAATTACTTGGTTCAATGATGTTTTCTTTCAATAATCTTTGTATTTCTGTTTGTATAAATCTGTAGTCATCATTAGAAAACCGTCTAGATTTAATAGCAATAGGCTGGCAATTGTCTGTTAAATTCGCGAACAGCGGATAAGGTTGAATATTTGCTGTTACTAGATTACAGATAGAAAGTTTTGATTGATTTCCACCAAAATTGAATTCTACTCCAGAATGATTTTGAAGAATATCATGTCCAATTATAACTTCAGAACAGAGATTTTCCATCACGTAAAACTTGATATTTTTGTACACATGATCTGATATTTTCAAAATCACAATACAGTATCCACAAACAGGAGAATTTAAAGATGAAGCAGCCATTGTGACATTGAGATTCGTAGGAAACACTTTGATACGTCTCTGTGTGGTGACAGTTTTTGAGATATAACTGTCCGAACTTCCAGTATCAATTAATGCATCAGTTGGAATATGATTGACTTCAATTTTAATAATAGCTTTCGATAAACAAGATGTTGAGGCTGCTGACATCATTCCAATCATAGCAGCTGAGGTTTTATTTGAATAATGAGATTGTTTTTGATATTTTGATCTACATACTTGTGTGAAATGACCAATTTTTCCACAGGAATGACAGGTTGCATCTCTTGCTGGACATTTATCTCTAGAGTGTCTGTTTCTTCCACAAAAATAACATTTTGATGTAATTACGGCAAGTGTTGTATCCATTTGTTCATTTGATTGTTGAACATAAGTCGATGATTGATTTGCTACAATTGAATTGACGTACGAATTTGAGGTATAAGATTCTGACTGTTGTTGGGCCATTTCTAAAGACCTAGCTGATTTATGTGCTTCTTCTAAGTTCAGAGTCGTATGTTCTAGAAGTCTTTGCCTAATGTGAGATGTGGCCAGAACACTAATAAATGAATCTCTTATGTAGTCATTTTTATTCTGTTCAGCAGTGACTGCTTTGAAATTACAGTCCTTACTTAATTGTATCAGAATTTGTAAGTACTGGTCTATAGATTCACTTACTTGCTGTTTTCTAGTGGATAAAGTATGACGGGCAAAAATTTCACTCTGTGTTTTTACATATAACTTTTCGAGTATGGCGACTGCTTCTATGTAGGAAATACATTCACTAATAGACTGATAAACTGAAGAACTCACATAGTTTACTAGAAGGTTTAATTTGTCCTTATCTTCTGATATTTTGGCAGCTTCTAAAAAGTTCTCAAACGTTCGTTTCCAGTGGATCCATAACTGGCTAGCATTGTTTGAATGTGTGTCAATTTCTAGTCGTTCTGGCTTGAGTAATTTGTCCATTGATTGGGTAATTATTAGCTTATTAAATTGTAGTAAAAGAACCTTTAGAATTAAGGCTTTAATAAGCTAAAATTCAATACAGTATTTTCTGACAATAACTGACAACATGACATACAACATACAGGTACATAAATATAGGGAACACAGTAAATAGTAAAGTAATGAAATATATAACAACCCTGATCTCCAATTTAAAATATTAATAAAACTCCCTATACAATTTTAGGTTTACAAAAGCAGGAATCTCAAGAAAGAACATTTACAATGCTCTAACCTGACCCATTTCTCTGCTCTAGTAGATACATTAAAGACAGTGGACAATTGTCACAGTGTTAACAAAATATTCACTTTGTACAATAGAAAAACTACTGTGGATATTATCTGCGATAATGGACTGACCTGGATGAAGGTGATAGCAAGAAATCCTAAATCGTTAAGTCAAATTTATATGGGGAATGCTAGCTATGGCGTTAGGAGTATTGTTGATCAAGCCGAGGAATATATCGAGTGTGCTAAATTGCATCCATGCTTATTCCAGACACCTAAGGTGAGATTTTTTAGTCGTATGTACTTTAGTGCTATTATACTCTAGGGAGTTTGAATTTTTTGGCTGTGACCATGACTCACCCTATAACTGACACAATATCAAGTAAGGAGCTTCGTGGAGATCCAAAACCTAGCACTGATCTATGAATAAGTGTATTGAATTGAAAACCAAGTGAAATAAGATTTCCATTTAACACATTGCATGCCACGCTGTTATCGGGAAAATACCCCCTGGGGCCGTATTCTTGATTTCTGGGAGGAGAACTTGCTCGGGAAGTGGACGTGGTTTACCTCAAAAAGGTACATGTCATATTCTTGAAAATGGGACTGTGAAGTGAAAGTTCCCGGGAATTCTGAAGTTCCCATCCTCCTACCCAAGAGAAAACGAATTCCCGTCAGGGTTTCTAACCTCAAGACTTGACGTTGTTTTCAAGCTTGACGTTTTTTTTTTCTCCTTTCAAATTCAAGGTTTTTTCGTTTTTGTATGCGTTGTGTCTTTTCATTAAAATGAATGTGGATGTGGATTATTTTATTGAGATTATCTTGTATAACATACCTAACATAATCCAAGAAGACATGAAAAATGCTTCAGAAGCAAAGGAAATAGAATGGGATGTTCTGCCTTTTCCATTGGCCAGAAATTCGTGAAATTTTTTAGAGTAAGCAAAAATGTATGCCACGAAATAGTGGATATGGTTACTCCCGTATGTTACCGCTCCAAAGCGAGTCTCGGCTTTAACCAAAACTACAAAAGTAGGTAGGTATGCATAGAACACAGTATTCCAGAAGTTGATGAGCCACATGAAGTTCAGGAGCAGGAATACGGAATTTATTAATTTATGCTGCAGAAAATTATGCACAATTTTCCCTCATGTATAAAAAATCTCATGAGGAATGCAGTTTTCGAACACTTACAGCGATGATGTTCATAGGGTAGTTAAAAATAAATATATTATCAAACCCAAATGCCTTTCAGCTTTCAAAGTTTTGAAAAATAGACAATAATAAATATCAAACGTGGGGTTAGATATTGGGTTAGATAACTTCCTCTTCCTTTTTTCGCTTGAAACACGTTTTGGTTAGTTTGATTGACACTCTGATAGGCGGCAACATGGCGAGCGCTTGTGGGTATTCAAGAATACGACCTCTTAGCTCCCGGGAGCGAAAGTGAACTAGCTTTCCTGGGAACATTCCCAGGAACACTCCCTTCCCGGGCAGTCAAGAATATGGGGCCAGGGGTAGTGATTTGAGTCGAGAATATTCCCATGCGAATATTCGCGAACATTGGGAAATTTCCGAGAATATTCGCCGATAAAAAATGGAAACGTTTTCCTGAATGAGAATATTCCCGGAAACTTTCAATCAAAAACTCTCAAAAGAATATTTCCGAGAACTTTCGAGAATATTTCCAAGAACTTTCGAGAATATTTCCAAAAACTTTCCAGAAGAACTTTATAATGCGAGATTATTGCGAATACAAGGTCTCAGTGACTTTATTTCACTTTATGTGGATGACGTACCCAGTCCAACTGTCTTTACCGAAACACTGATCCGATTTACCCGATCACCAGCTGATATACCTACAGCCTAATGCCTAAGGTTTGTCTTTTTTTGAAATAATCTCCATTGAAGAAAAAAATAAAGAGCTGAGAAATTGGGTTAATCGGATCAGCTTTTCCTTTGAAGCCTTATTCAACCCTCGATAAAAGTGTTTTTGCTACATAGTTTAATTTTTAGCTGATCTTACAGAAAAAAATAGGCGTTTTTCTTGGTTTATAGTCTATAGTCAGTACACTACAATTAGGTAAATGAAGCTTACTACGATTTGTTCGATTTAGCTATAAATTGAAAAAAAAAACAATATTTCCATAAGTTCCCGAAAGTTTCCAATATTCCCGGAAAGTTTCCGAGAATGTTCGCGGCTTTTGAATGTTTCGGGAATTTTACATCACTACCCAGGGGCCAAACCACATTTTTGCAATATTTGTATGTATTTACTCTCAAATATGATCAACGTTTTTTTTTTTTGCTTTTGCGGGCAAGAAAGATATTCTCATTTTGTTTCTAGAATAAGCTATTGCAGAATAAATTTTGTTTTATTATACATCCAAATCACTTTTAGATAATATTTTCATCAATTTTATAAACCCATTTCAAGCAGAGGTTGTAGCAACTGCTCTATCTGATCACGAGGCTCAAACTCTGAGGGTCGTGAATGCGGTCGCCCCAGAGTGCAACTTCATGCCCTTCAAAAAGCGCTCTTTTTCAGATGGTAGATTGTCTCACTTTAAGCTTGAATTGCAGAGGGTGGATTGGTTTGAAGTGTATTCTCAACAACAGGTAAATACTGCATACCATGTTTTTAGCAGTATTTTGGCTCAATACCTCAACCTGATATTTCCTGAGAAAACCATTAAAGCCAAACCAAAAAAACCTAAGTACTGGATGACTTGTGGGATTAAAATTTCTTTAAAAAACAAACGAAATTTGTACAAAGAAATGATAAGGGGTAGTATCACAAAACATTTTTTTAAAAAATATTCAAATATCTTAAGATCAGTTATAAGAGAATCTAAAAAAAGAGAAAATATAAACTTTATAGAAACTTCAAAAAACCCAGGAAGAGCAATATGGACATTGATTAACTGGGTACAGGGAAACGGGGAAAAAAGAAAAGAATCGTTGCTTGAAAACTATTCCAAGAAATACCCAAACAAAGAAAAGAATGTTATACTAAATGAAATAAATGATTTCTATATAAACCTATGTCCTGACCTCAATACAAATATAGATGGCATCTCAAAAAATATACCTTTTTACCCAAAAAATTTATTTTTAAAACCTACAAATGCTAATGAGATCAAGCATGTCATATCCAAATTAAAAAATAAAAAAGCAGTAGGGCAAGATCAAATCCCAGTCATTTTAATCAAAAAAGTGGCAGATGAAATTGCTGAACCACTGTCTCATGTAATTAATTTAATGCTTGTCACAGGAGTATTTCCAGATAAACTGAAAATAGCCCAAATTATTCCAATTTATAAGAAAGGAGACGCTCAGGAAATAAAAAATTTTCGACCAATTGCACTCTTGAATAACTTTAGCAAGATATTTGAGAGGATAATATATGATCGCGTTATTTCGTTTTTTGAGAGTGAGCAGTTGCTCTCAACATATCAGAATGGATTTAGGAGGAAAAAAAGTACCACCAGAGCTATTTATCAGGCACTAACTAAAATCTTGGAGTCCCTTAATGGGAGAAACGAGACAGTGGCGATGTATTTGGATTTGTCTAAAGCTTTTGACAGTGTTAATCATGATGTGCTGCTAGCAAAACTAGAAAGGTATGGATTGAGGGGCGTTCCTTTACAACTAATATCATCTTATCTATTTGATAGAAAGCAGCAGATTATTGAAAGACACAATGGGGAAACATTAACATCAATTTCTAGCCAGGTCAAAAAAGGTGTACCTCAGGGATCAATCCTTGGACCACTGCTGTACATTATCTATACTAACGAGCTTGCAAATATAACTGATCAGTTTACGGTCCAGTTTGCGGATGACACTTCAGTAGTCTTTTCGGCAGAACGAATGGAGGAATTGAGTAACAAAATTCACACAACTTTGAGTTCCTTTCAGGGTTGGTTTGACTCAAATAACCTGGTTTTGAATGTCGAGAAGACACAGCTACTACGTTTCTCATATCAACGGGATTGGTCTCCCACTCAGTTTGTTTGCGGTGATGGTATACCTTTGAACACTACAAGATCGGCCAATTTCCTGGGGGTCAAAGTGGATTCACGGTTGGACTGGAGTGACCATATTGACTGCCTGGCTGGCCAAATATCAAGGCACTGCTATGCCCTGAGGGTGCTGGCACGTGAGGTAAATTATGAGGTTGCATTAACTGCTTACCATGCTTACATTCAATCAAGATTGAGGTATGGAGTTGTATTCTGGGGTAATAGTCCCGAAGTCTCTCGAGTTTTTATTGCACAAAAAAGATGTATAAGAGCAATATTTGCTATGTACCAGACAGATAGCTGTAAACCCATATTTAGGGCTCACAACATATTAACATTACCAAGTCAATATATCCTGGAAGCAGCATTGTTTGTTAAGCAAAATCCTGACCTTTTTCTTGAGCACATTAGGGGGCATTGCTATGATACAAGGGGAAGGACTGATCTTGTCAATGTGAGAAGCAATTTTACTTACATACAAAAAAACGTTCAATTTTCAATTATAAAAATTTTCAACAAGCTACCTTCAAATTGGCAAAGCTTGCAATTCGATAACCTTAAACATAAGTTGAAAAACCACTTACTTCAGAGGGCTTACTACTCGGTGGAGGAATTGTATGAGGACAATTTGAACAACGAAAATTGAAATGAGGTTCAAACCAATATATGTATTCTGATGCTCAGTATTGTATTTTATAGTGTATTTTCATGTTGTATTTTATTTTATATTGTATTTTTATATTCTTATATTTTATATTTTATATTTTAATGTGTAGTATTGTATAAATGTTGTTTTTTCTTTTTTTCTTAAATGTGCTCGTGACTTAACTTGTTTATGATTTTAAACTCAAAACAGTCAATTCAATTTATATTTGGCTTGTAATGTTGGATTAGGGTATTTTTAAATTGACACGTTCTATGTCCGAATGGGCTTTTGTGATAATTTTCTTTATATTTACAATTATGGAACAAATAAATGCTATGAAATGAAAATGAAACGTAAAATCAGCTATTTCAGAAATTTTATGTTTTTAATACGCAAAATCAATATTTTTCAAAAATTTTGTTGTAGTGAATTTATTTTTCCAATTTTGCTCAAACCAAGACTTCTATTATTTTCTCCAGAGGCCAACTTCGGATTCTCCATTTAAAATACACGGTAGCGGGTATCATATTTGATATACATGGCCAGAAAATGAGAGATGTGTGTCTCTCAGAAATGAGCGACGAAGCCCTCGGTGAAATGTTGATGTCTCGCACATAATTCGTCGCTTATCTGACAAATGGGCGTAAGTACCATAAGCATTATTTGACAGGAAAGCAATTTAAAGAAAATGTATCATATACATAGTTCCGTGTTTGTGTTAATTGAAAAGCAGTTTCAGTGATAATATTTTATTTAGACTGGTAAATACACATACTTTTTCCAAATACTATTCGAATTCAAGAAATTTCAGGCGAACATGATAAAATATGACTTAGATGGACATAGGTCCCTTCGTCAGATCTGAATTTTATTGTTATCTTACTTAAGCCTAGTAATGCACTTAACAAAACATTAGTAACAATCTGCGGTAAAGAACAAAAAGAAAATTCCACTCTATAAACGAAACACAAACAAAAGTTATCATTAAAAAAAATCGGTTAATCCCTATAAATCACAAGAAATAAACAAAATAACTATATTCTAGAAAAAGAGAACGAGAAGCTAATTATTCCAATCATGGGGAAGGTCTTTGAAGAATTGTTGGAAAGTTTTGTCTCGTACGACTTGTATTCGATCTGTGCATAGATCCGTAAGATCTTTGTATTTATTTGCTGAGAGTTTTATCTGGCCACTGTTTAATTTGGGTATAGGTTTTTGGAGCACGTCAGGTGGTAGTCTTTCTAGTGGCAGTTGCTGATATTCAGCATCATAGTGGCTTTTTTTAATATTGATTACAAACGTCATCTTTGTTCACCATTACTTCCTTAATTTTGGTCTAGTCCTCATTTCCACCAGAGTCCAGTTTTCTGGTCACGCGGACTGAAGACGGATTTTTTCAGCCAATGATTTATAATCAAGAAATTCTTCGGTGGTCATTTCAAAAACCGTGTACGGAAAATTACTTCTGGCGAGTCTAAAGATGGGGGGTAACTGAACTGTACTGGTATATAACTATTTCCGGCGGACCGAAATGCTGTTGCAATAGAACTATGAACGGAATCCCCTTCATTTTGACCATGATTTTTTTGGAAAGAGGATAGTACAATTTCACGTTTGTTTTTTGAATTTGCGACAACTTGTAGTAACATGGTGAAAACGATTGTATTTTTGTTCTGGCCACCACAACCATCTGCGAAGAGCCTGCTTACTTCTTTTAATCCTTGGTTGTCCAGTTGTGTAAACATCTGCCAACCATGTAGACATTTCATTGGCACCACTTTCACTGATAACTTCCGACCAAGAGAAGCAGTAGCACTCTCTATTACCCATATTGTGATTACTGAAGGTAAATACCGACAAACGACGACGATATAAGACAATGCATTTTCTTTACTTTAGGTAACTGAATAACTTGTTGCATGTCAAAAACAGCAGCTGCTATTGAAGCTGGGTTGTTTTTGGACATTTCCTTAGCATCCTCCTTCTTTTTGCACACAGTGTTTTTCTCGGCGACATTTGCAGTGTATGCATCTTGAAGCTCTAATTTTTTATTTGCATCACCTTCCCTGTACGACAAACAAAGACTGCATTGGTCCTTCCTGGCATGGTGGAAGGACAGATTCAGTGATTCAAATACTCTAGGGTAAGTATGGTAGCTGCATTTTGGCTGTTCCAGGCTCTCTTCTTGGTACAAGTTAAACATTTGCTTCGCGTTTAAGTCGGGATGTAAATATTCTTTTGAAGTCGATTTTCTACAAAAGAGCGACTCCATTTTTGGGAACTTTTGTATGTGAGCCAGAGCTGAGGCTCTCATAAATTCGTCTTTTTGTTTCAAGTTTGCATAATGCAATGCCCCTACACGTTTATTGAACCTAACTATGCCTTCCACCGTTCTCTTGCTTATTGCCGTCCGAACTGCTTTTTCGGAAACTGCCAGTGTATTCTGAAACGTAGGTAATTTTACAAACTGTTAATAATCTTCTGCCTTTGGTAAATAATAAGCCAAAGTTCTTGTTCTTATGAACTCTGTTGCAGCAGTTCTTCTCTTTTTAACATCATTCTGATTGATATGGCGCACAACGAACTCCCTCTGTAATTGAAGACTTTGTATATTGTAGAAAGCATGAAATATTTCCTGGTATTATTCCTCAGTGAACAACTTGCAGCCATAATTTTTACATTTTTGAGAATCACATTGCGGCTTCATGATTCTTTGCGGAACTTGCTTTCTCAAGAAGGGACTCACGTATACTTTTCCTTCTGTTCTTAGGGTGCGTGCCATCTTTTTCATGTTGTCTTTGCTTATAACTACTGATAACTTACCTATAAAGAGATACCACTGCAATAGAAGGCACACTCAAACTCAAACTTAACATTTTCACTTTTAACAAAAAAATTTAGAAAACCTTGCAGGGTTAGCACCACCGGCCGCCAGGAGGCAGGAAGCGAACGAAATGATTATGAATCAATTTATGCTACATTGGTTGCCGGTGCGAACTTATAGGTCATCGGGGGCACATCAGCTAAACAATATTAGTTGGAAATCTGACAAAAAGGCGTAAATTCGTTTCCGGGATATACGCCTCTTTGTAAGATCCTGCAGTTACTTTTAATGTCGCTTTCGCCCATACCAACCATGTTCTAATAGGGAAAATATTACCTCTACAATTACGCCCGTTGGTCAGATCATATATATACTCCATAGAGATATTTTCATGGAATAATCTGTACTTTAGAAATATTGTCGCTTACGCCCATTTGTCAGATAAGCGACGATATGAGCGACGCGGCACGCAATGTGTTAAATATGTTATCTGCTTAACTGAGTTTAGGCATTGTTTTTGTCTGTGGTGGATAGGAATAGAAGCAAGGTTTCATGGCAACTATATGATAAAAACTAGTCCAACGAACAAAATATGTATATATCCTGTTCACAATAGGTCAACTGGCGATTTACTTACATACGTCACTCACTTATGGCAAAAAGGGGTGAAACAAGAACAATTGCCTTAGATATATCTAAAGCATTCGACAAAGTTTGGCATGAAAATCTGCTCAACAAGCTCAAAGCAATGGGATTATCGCCGAAACTTTGCACTTGGTTTGAAAGTTACAGATCCATTTATGTTGCACTGGATGGCCAGAACTCCAACTCTTACCAAATAAATGCTGGTGTCCCACAGGGAGCAATCCTTTCGCCAACTCTTTTCCTGATTTACATAAATTACCTCATAGATAAAACAGTAAATCCACTTTATTGCTTTGCAGACGATGGCAATGTAGTCTCCTCACTCATACCACCCACAGGTCTTTCCGCACGTGAATTCCATCATCTTGGACTAACTCAAATATCGCAGATAAATAACGACCTGGAGATAATAGAGGACTGGGGTAACAAAAACCTTGTACAGTTCAACGCGCAGAAAACCCAAGCAGCTCTGTTTTCAAAAAAGACCAGCACCGGTGAGCCAAACATCATGCTATCTGGAAGTGCTGTCACATTACAGACTCAGTTGAACATCTTGGGGGTTACTGCAGAGACCAACATGTCTTGGCACAGTCACGTGGCAGATATTGCTAAAAGGGCCTCCCAAAAGCTGGGGGTGCTATTTCGTACAAGACATCTGTACACACCAAGCCAATTGCTGACACTCTACAAAGCCCAGATTCGACCAACTATGGAGTACTGCTCACATATATGGAGTGCAGCACCCAAACATACCTTAATGCTTTTGAATACCGTGCAAAAACGAGCTATCAAGCTGATCAATGACCCTGCACTTACTCGTAACTTGGATGGTCTCGAACATCGCAGATCTGTGGGCGATTTATCTCTCTTCTACAGGTACTATCACGGAAAATGCTCTGAAGAGTTGGCACGTATGATTCCACCGAGAGTAGCACCTACCAGGCGAACCCGTCAAACAGACGGTAACCATGAATTTACTGTCAAACTAGAGGCACCAATTAAGAACCTCATTATATCAGAATTCATATCTCTGGAGAACAGCATCGCTGTGGAATAAACTCCCTGCGACGGTTTTCCCTGCAGGTTACAACCTGAACCGTTTCAAGACCAACATACACCGAAATTTCCGCGCACTTGCCGCTTCTCGAGCGTGATAGGACATTTCCTTGCGAGTGCGCATATCCGTAAAAAAAAAAAAAAATCCGATGTCCACAGGTGCAGGTAAATTTATCACCTTTTCCTATGAAATAGCAATGAAAGGTGATAATTGTTACCTGTACCTGTGGACATCGGATTGTGAACGGATAATATGTATAATTATAAAAATAGCATTGTTATATTTCCAATTTCCAAAGACTAGTCAATAGACTGAAATACTATAAAAATAATAAATATTTGACCCTTGAAAATTAACCCACATTTTTTATTAACATTTAGATAGTCTTTGTATTCACCAATGGAATTGGTAACAATTTAGCAACCAAATTGGAGAAACTTGGCATAATTGTGAAAGGAAATCGCACAAGTGTTCATGATATTATTGAAGAAAGTGATTCGGAAGCTAGCGAAGACGAACACTCAATACCTACAACCCTCATCAATAATTACAATGAACCACTAGAATTATCCACAAAAAATATAGATAATATTAAAAAGGTAAATTTAGATGTTTCCGCTATGTTGGCCTATTGCTGTTCAGTAGCTAATGGAAGTGCATTTTTATATGATTTTGATGTACCTGTTCTTAAACAGCAAGCCGAGTGGGAAAGACAAAGACCTGTCAAGCCAATTTTGGATAATTTTTTTAAAGGTACATACTAACAATTCACCTAACTTTATTTAGATAATAATGTATTTTTTGTAGGTAAACAGTTATACTGTTGTGAAACAGCCAAGGAAAGTTTTGAAAATATAGTAAATACAGTAGGAGGGCCAACAGAAAAAAATAGAGCAGAAGAATTAATGAAAAGAGTAATAATTTTGCCAGACAATGCTACTTTCAAAGACACCAAAGAGGGTAGCGAAGGAAGTGAAATTTTCCATCAAGCGCAATTTACAAAAGGCAAAATTTTGGACTTGGGTGGAAAAATTAGACAAAGATCCTTAACGGTATTTATGTTTGGAGATCAAATACAAGCTATAACTGTCACCAGTAATGATGGATTTGTTAGGGCAGCTAAACAACAGGTAAATAAATCTAAGGAATTTAAAGAAGAAGTCATATTGAAAATATAATAATTTTTTATAATAACTTTTCTAAATTATTTGGTTATGATGCATAGATTCTTTTTTAGAATATAAATTTTGTTGTGTTTGTCCATGAATCAAGAGCCCTGACCGAGCAAAAAGAACTGATTCAAGCAAAGCCACTTAATTTAGAAGAAAATAAGTCAACGAGTTAATATATATTTTTTTTTTACCAGAAAAATAATATATTGTTATTTGTTAACATTGCAAATTTTGTTTTATTTTACAAAAAATAATTTAGCCTTTGAAAAACTTCTTATATCGCTCATTGTGTTTACTACTAACAACAGGTTCCCATGTTACGCAGTAATTATCAGAAGGTTTCAATTTCAGTTGATTTACAGAGTCTACAATCCAGCTGACATGTAAATGTTTTGCGTTTTTAGGCCACTCTACGCAAATATCTTCAATTTTATTGGTCGAATGAAATATGCAATTTGCATTTTTGGTTTTCGCTATAAGTCCACCATAAGCTAAGAAATATCTAGAAAAAAGTATTGGGTACATCGATAAAAAAAATTGACCAAAAATAACTGATGCTCACCTTTCAATGTTGGGATCCCTTGGATTAACAAATAAACCTTGAATGTTTTCAAATAAATTTGGCAAAGCATTTTCTAGCTTCACTTTTCTTATATTGCTTTTTTCTGATTCTTCTGCTAATTTTTTATTATCTCTCCTTGAATCGACTGATTCTAAAGAATCTTTTTTACATTTCTTTGGTGAACTGCTACTTGATGATGCTTCAGAATTAATACTAATGTCCAGCAATCGTTTTTTGGACGGACTTTTGCTGTTCTCTTTAGTATCAGTACCCTTTGTTGAAAGTGTATCATCATCCGCATCTAATTCTACTTTGTAATCTTTTAACAGTTGACTGACATCAGTATCGGCTTTGGATTTTTTAAACAATTCTTTTAGTTCATCTACATTTGTGGCAGTTTTCCATGTTTTATCATCTCGAATCTTGGTAACTCTTGGGAATCTGTAATAAAGAGAGAAAATAATTAATTTTTGGAGCTTATAAATTAAAAAAAGTTTTTGTCCGTTTTTGTCCGAATCGATCCTCAAATACTGCTGTTTTTGCTTTGTCCAGTTTATGTTTTCTTGTATACTTTTGCATAATTTTTTAGTGATTCCAAGTTTTTAATCATGTAGGCTGCAGTATTATGGTTTTAAGAGCTTGACGTATTGTTGCGTTGTGAATTGTACGAGATTTTATACTTTTGTCAGTGTTTTATGCGTTGGTAAAGAGTAAAGACTTATGTAGGTACTCACTGTATACTTATAATGCCTCAGATAATATGTACTAGATATATAACTTTTCAATCGATCCACACTGACCAAATATACATCCAATTCAACGACGTCAAATCGACGCTTCATAGACGTCTTAATACAGGGTATTTTTTCTGAATGGGTCATATTGGGTTTTACATGGTAACTTTTGAACCTGTTGGTTCATGTCATGGTCAAATAAACGTCCACTACGTGATGTCCCCAACAAGCCATATTTTGCAACATCTTTCCGACGTCGAATTTTGGTTACTCGACGTAAATCTACACATCGCACAAAAATTATCGCATCACCAATGCTTTTAAATATTTTGGCTACAGTAAATTTATTTTTAAAATTTCCTAGGTATTCCCTGAATGGGCATTCTTTAACTGAAAAATTCGAGTCAAAAAACATGTCATTTCTTCTTTTGTTAGGTTCTTGTTTACTTTTTACGGAAAAATGTGGATAGGCATACATTCCACTTAGTAATTATGCTGTTCATTTCTGTGTTTTCTGCTTTGATAGATGCGATAATTTTTGTGCGGTGTATATTTGAAATCGACGTCATAACGACTAACCTTCGCTGCATAGGATGTTTGTTGCAGTAGGAAAAAAGACCTGCTGAAAGCATCCTCCAGCATTTTAAATGTTTGAATGAATTTGGATCAGACGACTTGACTTGTTTCTGCATTAAAATTTTATTCGCTAATATTCAATGTTCTCTATCTTAGACCTGGTTTATTCATCTTGAGATAAATTTACATATCTATAATCCTGTTGGTCACTGGATAATTGGTTGACCAATGGAATTATATATTGCGTTTTTATCAATCAGATTGCATTTTACCTGACAGCTTGCCTGACAGTTTATTAGAAAGTGAATAAACCGGCGCTTATATGTATGTATCAAGAGGCTCTTGAAGCGCCGGGAATAGACAAACATTTAAGAATTGATTATTATTATTATTAAATCCTTTATTTAGCATAAAAATTGCTAATTTACAATAGTACAAAATATATATATACAACTTGAAAAGTAACTAAGGAATAAAATGTAAAATAATTCATAAAATAAATAAACTAACAGAGCTAAACTTAATAATCATAAACAATACAGTAATTTAAAAGTTATCACAGGATCAACCATCCAGTATGTCACAATTACCTAGCATATACATTTTTAGTTCTTTCTTGAAACTCAACAATGAAGTAATAATAATAATCCTTTATTCAGCAAATACACGCTAGTTTACAAAATTTTAATCAAATTCCACAGTTTTACCACAAAAACAATTAAAACATCCGAGAAAACATCCTTGCAAAATACAACTGTACAAATATTAAAATGGACAAAGACAAGAGTCAGAATAGACAAAATGGATAAAAACCTGATCAAGATGTCTCGTTAAATGCACAAAGACCATGTTGACTTAGGCAGATAGGCAGACATTAAGGGAAAATGGAGTAGATAAGTAGACTTAAGTACCTATATGTTGTTTCCATTTGAGGCTCTTGAATTTTCTTTATGTAGAGATATTTAGAAATAAAAAATTCAGGAGCTGGCAATAGACAAAAATTTAGTAGATAAGTAGACTTAAGTATGTTGTTTCTATTCCAGGCTCTTGAATTTTCTTTATGTCATGTATTCAGAAATTTAGAGAAGAAATTTGAGGAAAATTTCTAGAAAGCAGAAGTATCTGTGAGAAGAAAACCATCATTCGACTATTTCACAGATTTAATGGGTTTGCCTAGGTATTCTCTGATATAAAGTAAAAGCGTAAGCTTTCGCAGATAGTTTGGAGTGGAGAGATTGTCTAAATGAACTTCCAGATAAGAATGAGATTGATCAATCCGCCGACAAACTGCGTGAATCAGGGATAAGGTCAATCCCTAGTGAATCCAGAGGCCTGAAAGCCAGGAAGGCACCAGGTCCCGAGGCAGGTGAATGAGGAAAAGCATAGAAAGGCTGTAATGACCTTAACTATCATGACCTTTTCCCTTCTGACATAATGAGTATGCTATTATTTCCTAGTTCAGGCTTTTGAATTTTCTCTGTTTAGAGCTATTCCGAAGAAAACAATTCAAGAGCCAAGAATAGACAAACATTTAGACAGAAAAATGTAAGAATTGGAAAGCAGAAATTTAGGGAAAATTGAGTAAATAAGTAGACTCAAGTATCTTTTGAGTTATCACTGATTGGAGATAACTAAGCTTAACACAATGACCAGTGTGTCCTCAGAAGGACGTCCAATTGTGGACCACTTTGGTCTCATACGACCTTTGTCCAAAATAGAACGTCGTACTGAAGACATGTTTTGGACGCCCAGCCGACGACGTCTTACTACCGTCCTTCCTTATTAAGTCGCATCAGTTTCTCAATGCTTTGTTAATAGTTGTTGTGTTTCAAATATTAACAATTTATAGTTGTTATCTGTTATCGGTAAGTACCTAATATCAACATATTTTGGTAATTTCATTTAAAATATAAACCCTGAATTATTCTCCAATCTTGGAAGTCTTTATGATGTTTTGAGTTGGCCTTTTTGCCGTCTTAATTTGGGTTTTTCGACGTCTTAAATTGATAAGTCCAAATTAGGCAGAACAACTCTAAAGTTACATTTGGAAATTTTGATGAGAAAAAAAATTCGAAAAGAAAATCTAATTTTTGGCTCTGAACCGAGCTCTGAACAGTTTTTGGAATCTTGACATGAATAATTGCTCATATCTTCAATGATATTTGAGATAATTGCCTACAATTATGAATTATTGAAAAGAGTAATAAATTCTCTATAAGCCCTGCCAAATTGGGTTTTGTAATTTCCCGGGATATCGAGCTTCAAATTTGAGATTTGGTCGACATTTTGTCCAAAACTTCAAACTCGATTTTCTCGAAAACCCTAAACGATAGAAAGTTCAGTAAAGTAGATTACTACTACTACTACTACTACTACTCATAATAGTTAAAATTACCAAATGTGCTTACTTTTAAACACCGATATCTCGAAAACTAATCGTACAATTTAAGATTTTGCTAATAAGACTGTAAAGAGAAAGCAACGAGCTATCCAACGATGTACAACACAAGGTAGGTTCTTATTTGGAAATATGTTGGGATAGCTAACCCCTAAGGGGGGGGGGGGGGGGGGGGGGCGGAGTGACTCAAAAAGTTCTTCATTTTGGTTCCCGATACGTATTTGAGATCTTCCTGATAGTATTTTTTGTCTAAGAGATATTCCTGATTGCTACTTTTCAAATTGTCACCCTGTATGTCCGACGTGGCCTGAATGAAAATATCACTGTCGGGCAAGTATGCCCGACGCGGCATGCAATGTGGTAAAGAAAATAAAACTGTACCTGATAGAAATCCCATCTGCGGTATGAACATCATGTTGCTGAGAAAACTCGGCACCAGTAATTTCCCATACAGGCTGTTTCTTGGGATCAACAGCCACAAAATCTGGCACCATTGTTCTAGTGCAGTTCAACCAACTTGGTACTTTATCTGGATCGCTACTTATTTTTTCCATTTCTAGCTCTTTCTGTAATCGTTCCAAGGTTTTATCATCATGACCTGAAATCAACTATATCTTCATTCTTTGTTCAATTACTTATAAAATGTGTGCTCATGTAAAAATGGAAGAATGGGAGCCAGCGACAGAAATGGGGTTTGATTTTGCTTGACTGAAATTCGCATTTCCAGGATAGAAGTTAAGAGATAAACGGGTTTTCAACTTTGCCCAAATTGTCACAAAAAATAGGTCGCTGACTCCTGTAGGTAGGTACTATGGTCAAATCAGAATGACATCCGACCTACCTGTGTGTACTTTCGTAACAGTACAAAATTTTCTAGTATTGGGATTGTAACAACCCATTAGAAAAACAGACATCATGCCGCCCTTTTGACCAGTTCCATACCATGCCCCCAAAACAATTAAATCGGCACTATCGGCCATGGCGCCTCCAAATAAGTAGTCTTTCTTAACTTTAAGCCAGTGACGTTTTCCGGGTTCATATTTACTCATTGTGTCCTTTAAAACTAAACCTTCCAATCCTAAGAAAAAACTGGTTAAAATGTTCATACATATTATAAAATATTTTTCTTACCCAACTTCAAAACTTTTGCAATCATTTTGGCAAGTTTTTGAGGTTCATCTATTTCTTGCATCTCAGAAAATACAATATGATTCGGCACTTCCGTCATATTTGCATTCAATATTTTTTTCCTTTCAATCAAAGGCTTTTCCATCAAACTCTCTCCATTATAATACATGCAATCGAAAACAAAAAGACACACGCTGGCGTCACGAAATTGGGCTTTCTTGTGAACGCCCAGCGTTCCAAACGGCAAGGGTTTTCCAGTGTTTGTGTCCATCATTAAAATTTCTGTGTCCAGTATCAAATCTTCTGCATGAGGAAAAGCTTTTGGAATGTATTCTTTGAAATGGGCTACTTTGTGCGGCATTACTGGTTTGAGGGATCTTGAGAAATATTTAAATTCGTTTCCCTGTTTATGAACTTGGACTCTAAGAATGGAATATTTAATGAGAGCTGCACGATAAGTTTCTTGTTTATTAATTACCTTTCTCCGTCATATTTAATTTCAGAAAACATTCCATTTGGACATTTTTTCATTGCATATTCTACAGACTTGCAAGCTTCAGCTAACATTGGAAATACTGGAGTAAGAATTTTAACTTCGGCACTTTGGACTTTTCGATTACCAAAACACCTGGAAAAGAAATTAAATTTTTGAGTTACTGAAAACATAGGCATAGATAGATAGATAGTTCATCATCGTCGCGGGGGTCTTACAGCCTTTTGCCGCATTTCGCCATTTTTTACGATCTCTCCAGTCTTCCTCATCTATCGCTTTATCATTCATATTTTTTTAAATCTTATCTATCCGTTAGCGCCGGCCTTCCTCTCTTCGTCCTGTTCCATGGAACATACATCAATGCTCTTTTTGGCCATCTCTCCTCCTCCATTCTCATTACATACCCATACCATATGAGCTGTCGGGTGTCTATTCTTCCAGCGTTCTGTATATGGTCCAGTCTTGAAACTCTTTATGCCCGTCTGGAAAAGTGTGTTTCCACTGCATCTACATTCCTTTTATTTTGTTCCCATAGCTGCCAGCATTCAACTCCGTCAATATCAGCTCTACAATTGCTCCGTAGATTGTCTTTGGTTTTTATAGAAATCTGACTACTCCAGAGTAAACAATTCAGAATCTTAACTCATTTTTTACTTTGTGTTACTCTGTTATTTAGTATATCTTGCTCTGCTGTTCTCTATGTTGATATCAAGCTTCCCAAGTATTCATACTCCTCACACTTTTTCAGATCTCTTAAGCTAAGATCCGGGTCTTCATCATCTCCAATACAAAAATATTCAATCTTGTTTTGGTTTATTTTCTGTCCTCACTGTTCATATTCGTCCTTAAGTTTTCTATACATGTAATCCAGTTCTTCTCCACAGCTAGCTATTGCTACCTGATCGTTTGCAAAGAATAGACAAGTTAATGTTCTCCCACTTCTATTCCCATACCAGAGCACTTATTTCTCTAGTTCTTCAAGGCATCTTGAACAGTGTGAGTGAAAAACAGCAACCTTGCTTTAGTCCTTTTGTAATTTTAAAACTTTCTGAAGCTCTACTTTTACTATACTCTGCGGGTTTTTTATAAATGTTACTAATGGCGCTTGTGTATTCTTTACTAAGTCTGGATAAGTTTCCTCAAGGGCACTGCGTTGTAGGCCTTCTCGAGGTCAACAAATATTAGATGTGTCGACAGATTTCGAGCGCATAAACGTCCTGCATGAAAGCCATTCTGCTCTCGTATGTTTGAAAATTCCATTTAAATTCTTTTTTTTTTTAAATTACAGCCACAGAACTAGACACACTTATTCCTTTATAGTTTCCACAAGTTTTTCAATCTCCTTTTTATTATAGATGGAACTTATGTGTGAGATATTCCAGTCTGCAGATATAGTGTGCCCTCTTACTGACAGATTGTTGTATATAACTGCTAGAATTTCCATCACGATCTCTGGCGCATATTTGACTAGCTTGATAGGAATATTTCCCGCCCCAGAGCCTTTCCATTTTCCATATCTTATAAATTTGTTCTTCTCGACTTACCATTCAAAAAGGGGGTGAAATATGAAAAATCCGAGACGAGGAAAATTCGAAACAAACCTATTTTATTTCTATTGCGTATCATATTTGGTATAGTTGTTTTCATTTTTTTTTTTTTTTTATTTATTTATTTCAACGGATATACCATTTACATTTGAACAATAAATGTTTTTACAATAATTTCATATAAATCTATTTCATAGGTATAAACTTAACAAAAACTGTTTTAATTTTAATTTAACAACAAACTTAAATTCTATTTTTTAGGAACTCATTTACTGTTCTATTGAACTGTCTAAGAGATACATTAAATATATCAATATCTAATTGGTTTATTGAACTAGCCATTCTGTTCAAAGGCGAGTTCATCCCATAATTAGTTCTATGAAAATCAATATGGAACAATGAAAAATTTCTCGTTGTCCTTTGAGGAACTTCTAGAGAAACCAATTCTAGTAATCTTGGACTATCCACATTGTTATTCATCAGTTTAAACAGAAATCTAACGTCCAACATAAATCTTCTATTCTCTAAGGAGTCCAAATTTAATAAACTGTGCAGGGAGACATAATTAATATCTTGTTTCGGTATTTTAAGTTTGTAATTAATAATTCGTAAAAATCTTCTCTGTATTTTTTCTAGAATTTCCCTGTATTTAAGATAACGTGGATTCCAGACAGGACTGGCATATTCAACAATGGAACGAATTAAGGAACAGTACAATAACTTGAAACAATAAATGTTATTAACCTCTTAATCTTAAACATTTATTATAGCTGTTTCCAATATGAATACTAAAGTCCATTTTATGGTCAAAAAATACACCAAGGTCCTTGATTCTGTCAACACTATTAATAATTACATTGTTGACAGAGTAATCAAATATTATTGGATTCTGCACCCTAAAAAATCTCATAACATTACACTTGTCTGTGTTCAAGGATAAACAATTATTTGAGCACCACAAATTAAAACGCTCAAGATCTTGTTGAACTCCATGACAGTCTTTTATTCTTAGACAGTCCGGTTAGTTAATTTTTGCTTGTGATAGACTTGAGCAACCCTTTGTCCACTTTTGATACAAATATGGAATCAAATTTAAAAAAAAATGGAAAACAATTCTTTTGCCTATGATTTCTGGAGGTTTTTTTTATCATATTGGTCATGGATTTACACAGTAGTAAATCTCTTCTCGCCTCTAGGTTAATTTCTTTGAGAGTTAACACCTTCTTTAATTCGTCCTCATTCAAAACTTGAAATAAATATTTTTTTTAGTCCTGACTAAGCATCATAGGGTAGTTTTGCTGTCTTTTTGTACTGGTTTTCTAGATTTTGTTGAAAATTACGAGGAAAATTATGAAGTTTTTGAAACCAAAATTTTGAATAAGGAGACCGGTATGAGGGGATTTTATCTGAACAAATAATATTTTTTCGGTACTGGAAAGAGGGTGCTAGCTTTACACCAGTTTATTATTTATCTTGCTAAAAAAAAAGTGACATACAAATTCACATTTTTGGTGCTGCCTGGAATTAATACTTAATTTTTGTTTTGAATGTATGAAATTTATTCCTAAAAATATCATCTGTAACTAGCGAGGTAACTAGTAAAGAATTGGGTAACTGGAACACCAATAGGAATGGGTATGAGCATGAGACAGTACCTAGGTACTTGGTATTACGCATATGGTTTTCAACATAGGTTCACTTGAAAGAGAAAATCTAGATAATAAAAATCAGCTGAACATAAGGAACCTAGAAACTGATCAAATTACTGTAAAACAGAACAAAAAGGCTGATAGTGTAGCGTCTAAATCAAAAGAGGAAGTAACTTAAACTGTTGAAAACCCTTCAGAAAAACCTCAACCATGGACAAGTCCTATCACAGTAGCGAAAAACACTAGACCATGATACAAATGCCGGAAATCAGTGATCCAAAAGAAGCTCTGAAAAAATTCAAGAGTAAACTAAAAGCGGTAGGAAGAAGATTTGAAAACATCAGACAAATGAAAAATGGGACTATCATTGTAGAAAGTTTTAACAGAGATCAACAAATTAACAAAACATAAACATTAAAGAAGTTCAAAATACTGACCCTATGTTTACGATAACATGGATTGAAAAGGGTTTCTCAGAAAAAAAGGTTCTAACTGAGCTAGAAAGATTGAATTTCGAAATTGTTGAGCAATTGGAATACAATGTATCAGATAAAATGCAGGTAGTTGCCAAAAAACAATGTTGCAACCCACTAAAAGAGAATTGGATCCGGCCAGCTAAACCTGACATAGGTAAATGGTTTTTCAAAAGGGGTACATTTGAATATGGCCGAGAATATGGCAGTTTGTCACAAGTGTTGTGGTTTTGGACAAATGAAAATGAATATAGCCCTATTCATCAAAATGTTCAGTCACTAGGAAATTCCATTCGAACAATAGCCTCAAATTAGGATTATTTCCAGACAAACTGAAACAAGCTCTAATAAAACCAATTTACAAGAAAGGTGACCCAGAAGTAATTGAAAATTACAGACCAACTGTCTGAATTTTCGAAAATTTTTGAATTGGTAATGTGTGATAGAATGAGCTTTTTAAATGACTGTAGCCAGTTTAGGGAGCACCAACATGTTTATATCTCTGGCAAATCCATTGAAACAGCTCTATTTCAATTTACTAAAGGAATTCTAAAACATACTGAACATAATGGATTATCACTAGGCATTTTTTTTTGGATTTGTCAAAGGCATATGATTGCATTGATCAGGATCTCCTACTTTAAAAACTAGATTTGTATGGAATAACAGGACATGCACTTGAAATGTGCAAATCGTATTTAATGAATAGATAACAAAGTAACACAAGATGGAAACTCATATCCTTTAGACATAGAGGAAAGTTGGCATGGAATTGCACAAGGCAGTATATTAGGATGTACTGTTTATAATATACCGACATGTAGGGTTTCCATGCGTCCGGATTTACCCGGACATTTTTGGGTTTTTAGGGTGTCCGGGGAAGTCCGGTCGGAATTCGGAACAATGTCCGGAAAACTTGGAGATCGTGAAAACAACGTAACTTTGTTAAATATTTCAATCGTTACGGTTATTTATTAACTTCTGTAAAAATGTATTTTTGCAGAAAAGTACCAAAATTCATCCTTTATACAAATTTTAAATTATTTTTCCTACTACCGTGCGTAAAATACTCACTTTACGCACTATTCAGAAGCTGTAAAATTTCACTTCACGCGCCGGTACGTACTGTAATTCACTTTACACACTACACCTTTTCGATTTGTATTTCAGATACCGACAGTTTTATTTCAGAAAGTGACAATTGTATTTCAGATTAGTTCACTTTATTTCGGAAAGTGTAACTGGATTTCAGATTAGTTAATTTAATTTCGGAAAGCGTAAATTGCATTTTAGATTAAATGATTGTATTTCAGAAAACGTGAATTATATTTTAGAATTTGTCAGATGTAGTTCAGAAATCATCAGATGTATTTCAGATAATAATGGATATTTATTTTATGAGGAGTATAAGAAATACTATGTAATGTGACGCGCATGGAAACTTGAACACTGAGCGGAGGTAGGTACCTACGCAGATTTTAGATGGTTCACTTTACACACTTGTTGCATAAATAGCTACTTCGGCGAAGTCCGGATTTTGTCCAGATTTCTTAACTTCTTTGTTCTGAATTCCGAAAAACCTTTATGGAAACCCTACCGAAATGGCATCTAGGTATTCCATTGTAGATTCGAACAAAGAATGTATGTGTGTAATGCAAACGATACAATCCTACTTGCAGGGGGGAAAGATGTTAATGATTTATTTAACAATGCTAACATATTATTCAAGAAAACAGACAGCTGGTTCAAACAGAATAAGTTGATCCTAAACATTGAAAAATCAAATGCTATTATGTTTAGAACAAAGCGGTCCAACCTAAATAAACCAGCCACTGTAGAATGTAGTCATAACGTTGTAAATATTGTGGATAGTGTTAAACTCCTAGAGGTGAATCGAGGGGTGAATATTGATGAATTTATGGATTGGGCAGGGCATATAAACACCCTATAAAAAAGATTAAATTCTGTATGTTACGTAATCAGAGTTGTGAGTGGATATATGGACCACAAAACTATTAAAATAATGTATCAGGCAAACTTTCTATCGGTCCTAGAGTATGGAATTATTTTTTGGGGAGGGAATGGTGACATTAAAAAGATTTTTGTAGTTCAAAAGAGTCTTCTCAGACCTATGAAGAATATGCAATTTAGTGATAGCTGCTGTAGCTAAGTATTTAACAGTGAAGGTTTGGTGACAGTGTATGGTGTATATATAGCGCTTATTTTTTTATTTAAAAATCGGAGGTCGTTTGAACTGTAGATAACCCAGAGTTACAACACCAGAACACTGAATGTGAGTTACCCAATCCACAGATTAACATTGACTGAGAAGAGCCCCTATTATATGTGTCTAAGATTTTTTAATAAGTTACCAAAAAATATAAAGGAAATAATCAGTTTTCAAACTTAAAATTAAGGCACTCGTTATTTATTTGGAATCCTATTCAGTCGGGGATTTCTTGGATAGGTCAATTTAATATTAAATAGGTTTTGTATATTTTTGAAATATTTGTATCCATAGCCAGTGTAATCTATGACACACTATTTACTTTGTATTTGTATGTTTTTCAGTTTTCAAGTATCTTCAATATACAAATAGATACAATTATTTCTTACCTCTCCACTACACCATCCAAGTCCTTGGAAGTCTTATAGACATTATATGCATCTGGATGTATGCCTTCCAGTACATGTTTTGCCCCAGCTCCCATTCTTAAATCGTGCTTGATCAGCCTTATAATGGTTTTTAAATCATCTGGAGTCAGAGTTTTTATAATTTTTGAAAAATGACTGATTTGGTCGTCCTCTTTGGTCAGTTTTGATAAATGTTCCAGAAAATTGTCAACTTCTTGGACTGTTATTGTTGATTTTGAAGTTATTGGATTAAATTTTTTGCTCCGATTGTAAAAATGGCTTATCGTATCACTAATATCACCTGAAAAATATGAAATATAAGCATCAGGGCCTCGATTAGGACATACCTAAGTACAGTAGAACTCTGGTTATCCATACCGTGGGGGGGGCACCCTCCTAGGATAACTGAAAAATTGGATAATCCGGATATACACAAATTTGAGTACATGCTTGAAGAGTCCAAATAGGTAACTCACCAAAAACATAAATAGGAGAACCACTCACCCGGCTAAGGGGATTTCCCATCTGCCCTGGCGATACACTGATAGATGTGTTTTCTGGATAATGAGGGGCTTTAGGTTCTTGGATTGGTTAAACAGGGTTCCACTGTATTTGTTTTTAAATAGAAAATGTTTACTGGAGGATTTACCGATAGGTTAACTTACCTTGTTCCAAATGTGCCATCATTTCATCTTGATCTTCAAGAAACATCTTACTGAAAATTTTAACCAATTGTTTACTTTGCAAATTATAAATTCTTTTTACACTACCAGGCAATAGCAGCCTGCACCAGATTTCAATGTCTCCTTTAAATGAATTACCATCAGAGCCTTTATCAAAGAATTGCTTGATAATTCCAGTTTTGTCAAGATAACTTGGATGTTTCGCTACTTTTTCTACTATTTTTTGAAAGATTTTGAATTGATTGTCTTTATTTACTTCTTTTTTCACATCTACATCAGCAGCCAACTTGTTTTGTTCAGCTTTAACTGCCTTTTTAGGTTTTTTCGTTGGTGTTTTAGTACTGCCTCCAAAGGAAACCCTTAAATCTCGAATTTTATCCTTTATACTGGTTTGTTGGTCAGCAGAAATCAATTCGAACCCAATGATATCATCTTCACTCTCTATTCTTTTGGTGGTAGCTCGTTGCTTCTTGAACGCTTCAAAAAGGCAGTCAATGTGATGCCAATTTTTCATTTTACCATCGGCAAAAGGATTTGCTACAATTTTTGCTATCCTTAATTCTCCTTGTAAACATTTTTGTTTGCATTTTTTACATCCTGCCCTGCCATTCTTTGCTACATCGATTTCGAAGACTCTCTCCTCCTCGGTATCGGACATATTTTGTTAAATATGTGAATTAACGAGCGTAATCTTTGAACCTTAGACCTCTGAACTAATAAAAGAATACACACTTTTTAAACTTCAAACAAATACAGACACGTTCCCTTGTTTAATGATATTTAAAATTTAAATTTCTCTGTTCGGCTTTTTGAATGTTGATTGTTGAAGGTGGTTGAAGGTTCAAGTCGCAGTCGCAATACTAGGGATAACAAACTATCGATAGGAATATCGATACTATCGATATTTTTTTCATTTTCGATAGTATCGATAGACCTGTACCACTATCGATAGTTCCAAATGGCCGGTTTCTCAATAGCGAGTCACCTCCGAGTTGGTTTTAACTTCAGGGTAAGCGAGCCCAGTTGCAATAATTGTATTCCTTTCACACCTAGGAGGAACTCTGGAATAGCTCCGTAGCGTTATGCGCTTATTCCTTTTCGAAAAATGTTGCACCTCGTATTTCTTCCTTTCAAATCGGGGTCGACTAACACCGGAGCGAGTAGCTCGAGTGTTCCAAACTCTTGAGGGCCGGTTTCTGAATCAATAACGAGTGAATATAAAGAAATCTGTAGCTGTTTTGAGAAATGTGTAATTATTTTTTGGGGAAGACATGCTGTGCTGCCAATTTTTAATTTTTAGGTTAACAGGAATGGCGAGCAATGTGACGAGTGACTTTCATGGACTTGGTAGGGATTGGCGGTTAATGTTTATTTAAGGTTATGATGTTATTGTTGTTATTTGATAAATTTATTTCGTAATTAATTAGAAATTTGGTTACTTTGGTCAGGGCAAACTATCGATAGTACAATCGATAGTTACTATCGATAGATAAGCCATTCTATCGATATCACTATCGATAGTTTTTTTTTCGATAGTTTGTCAACCCTACGCAATACTCGCAGTTTTGGACGGTTTGTTGTAAAAGATCAGCTGGCGTTAAGACATCAGTCAAATTTCAAACTGTCGAAGCGAAAACGTCCGCTTCAGCCAAGGATAATATACATTACTATAGCTGTTTTCTCGCGGTGGAACTGGTTCGACCCGGTTCAATTAGGTTCGAACCTGTACATTCTTGCGTTGAACCAGTGACGTCACATTGAACCTGGTTCAAAAAAGTTCGAACCGGACTCATGGCTTGTTCTCCGTTGACATAAGACTGTGGTTCATACCTTCCATTTTCTCGCGTTCACAAGTGATGACGTCATCTACAAATTGGTTTAAACCGTAGTTCGAACCATTCGCCCCGCGAGAAAACGCCTTATTACTACTACTACAGGATAGCCTATCCTCAACCGCTGGCGCAAACAGCTGACGACTTGATTAATAATGACGTCGACAATGGTGCTACACCAATAGGCCCCGATTATCAAAAACGAGGCCGATAAGCAATCAGTCGTATGTATTATTCTTCAAAAAAAAAAGATGTAAGCTAACGCCATGGAGGAACAGGGGAAAAATGATGGTGCTCGCCAGGAATCCACAGGCCCGGGATTCTAAAAATCACGATTCGACGACATACGACTCGACAAGACGATTTTTCCGACGATCCTAGGTTAGAAATCTCATTAACCCTTTTCACGTGGCTCCGGTTTAACAAACCGCAACATACCGCTCAAATTCGAGTGGTAGGTATCCATCACGTCACTTTGTAACCGGGTTAGAAAACGGTATGTCATTTCTCTAACCGTTTTGTAACCCGGGCCGAGATTCTAAAATCACGATTCGACACACGACTCGACAACGATACCGGCCTTGTCGTCTCGAAAGGTATAATTCCAATGAGATTTCTAACCTAGAATCGTCGGGAAAATCGTCTCGCTGTCGAGTCGTATGTCGAATCGTGATTTTAGAATCCCCGACCCGGTTAGTTAAATCGGAGCCACGTGAAAAGAAACTATTGGAATCATACCTTATGGCAAATAATTAAGGCTATAGTTCTTTTCACGTGGCTCCGGTTTAACTAACCGGGTTACAAAACGGTTAGAGAAATGACATACCGTTTTCTAACCCGGTTACAAAGTGACGTGATGGATACCTACCACTCGAATTTGAGCGGTATGTTGCGGTTTGTTAAACCGGAGCCACGTGAAAAGGGTTTATGGTCCGAATATAACCAAACGTTAACCAAAGTAATCGAATTGGTTGACAGATGGTTACTGGAAATTCCGGTTACTTGGGGAACGCGAATCTGAAATAAAAAATAATAGAGAGAATTTAGGGTAGAGTGGGGCAGGTTCGGACGGATTTTGTTAACGTGGTACCGAACTTTTATTTCAGCTAATATTAATGTTCTAAAAACGCAAATATATTGCATCATATGTTTTTAAACCAATACCATAGCAATTTCAGAAAAAACTTGCATCATTTTTCGTGAAAATTAAAATAAAAAAAAGTTGCCATTTGTCCGAAGGTGCCCCACGGTGGGGCAGTTTTGGACACGCATGGGGCAACTCCGGACATATGCTTCATAAACAGTTTATTTTTTGACAGGAATATTTTAAATAATTTAGCATCAATCTAAACATCAACACTTATAGTTTAAAGGAACTCCAAACATACAAACCTACGAACTTTGGCACTAGCCTACAAAAATAGGGATCGCCCCATTTGTGCTAATGTTCATTTGCTCTACCCACCCGAAGTCGCTGTCGGGCGGGATCGTCGGGCGAGCCGAAGTCCGACCGGAGTATATCCCTTATCGAAACGAATGCAGTTGTCGCAGGAGCGGCTTGTGGCGCAAATGAGTACAGCGTTACCGTTCCCTCTCTTGCGGGTATTTAAAATAGAAAATAGAATTCTATTTCTATATTATTCAAGTATTGTGAGTCGGTGTGGTGTTTTGTTTACTTTAAAAATGGAAAATTTTAACTTTTAATATTTTATTGGTTAAATAATAATTTACTTTAATAATTGAAAATATTAACTAATATCATGGTTCACAATCACATGGTTTTGTTTTTTGATTGAAATCCAAAACTTTTACCTTTTTTTTGCTAGCTATAGGTGGCTGTGCAGGTTAAGTCTATTTTACTTGAGATAATAGACTTTCCTTAAATATCAGAGTTCTTTTCATAGATATATTCATCTTCATGTAGGTTCTAGCAATATAATAATAAAGCTCTCCTTGGTGGGTAGGTATTTCTTTTTCACCTTTTATTATTAAAAAAGAACATGAAAAATATTTAATTTCAAAATGTCTATTTTCAATATCAATTGGCATTTTATATACATTTGTTACAACATGGATTCAACAATAATAATGATAAATTACAATAAGTACCTACTTTTTAACAATAAATAATAAGTAGGAGGTGGAAGTATATGTTTTACTTGGTGAGTCATTAAGTAGGTATACTTCTAATTGTTTTAACTATATCAAACTTTATTGAGTGTTTCACTATTTCGGAACCATGCTTAGTTGTTAAATGCCTTCTCTACTCCTGGTTTGTTTTATATGACACTTGGAAATCCTCCATACATTTGAAGAAAGCATCGTCAAAGGCATATTCGGGAACTGTAAAAGAAGGGATTACTCTTTCTCCAGAGAAGCTGAGAGAAGCAATTGTTTCTCAAACTTTACCTATTAAATAAACGTTAACTAATATAAAATACTATTGTGACTTCTTCCAAGTAATATCCTCACCATTTTTGCAATTATTACTGTTTTCCAAGTGTTTGTTGAGGTTGTATTTTGTAGAAAAAAACCTTAGCACAAAATTCACAGGTAGCACTATTACTTGGTCCATTTTCCATTATTTTTTAATTCCAGGCGCGGCTCCTCTATAAGGTCATTCGGTCAATGACCCACCAAAAAATCAAACAATAAATTTTCAATTAAACATCTTGGATATTTAGTTTTAAATTAACCAACATCACACTCAACAAAATGCAGAAATCGAATTATTTTGCGCCCTGAACTCGAAAAACGGCGCTGTTTCTCTAAATTTGACCCACCTCATGAGCCGCGCCTGCCTAATTCCCAATTACAATAAATTTATTGAAATAACTATTATATAGCTAATCAATTCTAGAACACCACACCACGAACTATCGATAGTATTTATAGGATAATATTATTACTTAATTAATAATATTATTGAGATAAAAAGCCTACAGAACGCAGAAACAGAAAACAGTAATATCGTTAAACTTTGAAATACGCAAAAATATTCGCGCCAAATATTTTCAAATTCAAAAACAACAAACAAAAAACATGACCTAATTTTCTCGGCTGTCATAGCCATTAACCCTTTTCACGTGGCTCCGGTTTAACAAACCGCAACATACCGCTCAAATTCGGGTGGTAGGTATCCATCACGTCACTTTGTAACCGGGTTAGAAAACGGTATGTCATTTCTCTAACCGTTTTGTAACCCGGTTAGCTAAACCGGAGTTACGTGAAAAGAACTATTGGTCATAGCAAAGGGAAGTTCGCCACGGCAAGGCTGTGACAGAGAGTAGGTTGTCTAATAACAAGGTTACAAGCAACGCGTCATCAGGTAGGCGAAAAATTTGTAAAATACGTTGTTATGGATATTCCGTTTCAGCTGCCGGATTCTATTTACGAGTCGAGTCGAAATTCGTATCGAATTTTCAAAATAGCGATTCTGTTTTTAGATTTTTCAACGTCCGGTACGTCCGGAGCTGTCGTATTCGATATCGAGACAATTCGAGTTGACTCGTAAAATAGAATCCGGGGGCTGATTTGTTTTGTGATCACCTAGGTGGGTTCGGCTCGCTCACTCCGTGCACTCCGAGTGACTCCATTCGCACTCCAGCCGTTCGGGTTAAGGTTCGGGTATTGCTTTTTACCGTATTAGGGGTGACTCCATTAGCTCTGTTCACTCCACTCCAACTCCGCGCTGAATAGCCGAACCCAGCCCATGTTATTATGTAGCTATTTCAAACTATTTTTAATGTAAACACTAACATACTGCATAGTTTAGTTTTGCAATTCTAGGAGTGTTTAGTGTGCGCATATTTTTATGGGTGATGTATGTACACCTGCTAAATTGGTTTAAAGTTACGTGGCAACCTTGTCTACTATACTTGAAGAGACAGACTATTTTGCTTTTAAGGCCGAGTTCGGCTTTGCACTCCACGGAGCGAAACGGTATGAACAGGGATATCGTGACGGTGACGTCATACGCAGAGTGCGCCCTGAAGTCTGTGTTTTTTTTAAAGATAAAAGTCAAAATGCCAATAGTTGTATTCCTTTCACACCTAGGAGGAGCTCCGGAACAGCTCCGGGGCTTCACGCGCTTATTCCTTTCGAAAAGTGTTTGTTGCACCACGCATATGTTCTCTGCAAATCGGGGGCGACTAAGCACCGAAGCGAGTAGCTCGAGTGTTTCAAGCTCTTGAAAGGAATACAACTATTATGTTGGCAATACAATGAAAAATTGTCAATGTTTTCAAATTTTTTATATGTAGAAAAGGCTTCAACATAGTTACTAAATTTTTGACTTGGGGAATTATCTTTAAAAAAGACAGACTTTAAGCCAAACACAGATCGAAACAAATAAATCCTCAAACCCTTGCGCAGTCACTAAACTCAAAAAAAATTGTTTCGTTTTGATTTTATTTTACTAGTAAACCGTAGTAAACGAGTAGGTGAATTAGTAATGGACCTGAAATAAAAGTAGAAATCTAGGAAAAAAACCTCGATAACTAATTTCTCTGGTGCTCCTCCATCCGTCCATCCATCCATCCATCCATCCATCCATCCATCCATCCATCCATCCATCCATCCATCCATCCATCCATCCATCCATCCATCCATCCATCCATCCATCCATCCATCCATCCATCCATCCATCCATCCATCCATCCATCCATCTAAAAGAGAGCAAGCTCAGGGTCAGAGTACGTGCTTGATTGTAACCAAAACGCAAAAGAGAACACTCTGAGAGCTAAAACAAACAGGATCTTATCGTTTCGAGCGCGCTTGAACTGCTCGAAGTTTGCCGAGTGTAAAGCCAGTAGTGCATGTGCAGAAGCTAGCTTCTGGATAGGAAATATAGGAATTGGCAAATTAGCTATCCAAGTACTCCTAAATAGTCGAAAAAAAAACAGTCAGATTTTTTTTACAACCAGGAATAGGAATAGGTACTAGGGGACTGCTGGTTTTACGTGTACTTAGGTGGGGAACTTGCAGCGAATCTGATGACAGTGGCTAGAATGTTGAATTGGATTTGGATGCTATTCGAGCAAGAACACTTATTGCTTATTGAGCTGAAAGTGTGTGCCATTTTAGCCGCACGCCTCAACTCTTGACATAAAAATGTATAAGCCGAGTTTAAAACAGTATAGGTTAAAAAAACGAATTCCTAAACGTTATATACTTGTTAAAATCACCTTTTCTACATTTAAAATCCATGAAAAAACAAGCACAACCTAAATCGCAAGCATCCCATCGAGGCCTGCGGGTGACGTCACCACTATAAGAGGCTCCTAATAGTACCGACGTCACTCGCAGGCCTTGCCGACTCCAGAATTACAAAGAAAATTTGTGGAAATTAAAGTCAAAGGAAAATTGAAAAAGTTGGGGTTTGTGCAGGATTTGAACCTGCGACCTCCGCATTGCTAGTACGACACTCTACCAACTGAGCTAACAAGCCCGCCTGGTAGAGATCGGCGAATACATGATCACTTTCGTTCTCCTCCTACTCACTCCAAACGTTTTTCAATTTTCCAATGGCTCACGAATGTGGCATCGGTCCTGCTCGGGTAAGTCACCTATACCACTATGCAGGTTTCGTCCACGATGCGGCGGGCTTGTTAGCTCAGTTGGTAGAGTGTCGTACTAGCAATGCGGAGGTCGCAGGTTCAAATCCTGCACAAACTCCAACTTTTTCAATTTTCCTTTGACTTTAATTTCCACAAATTTTCTTTGTAAAACTAGTTTCGGTACCTATAACCGACAAAAATTCTCCCTTTGTTTGACTCCAGAATTGGCGAACGTACGCCTTATGAGGATAAGCAATCTTATTAGGATTCTTTGCTATTCAAGTATTTCCAAATGGTCAAAAAAATCAGTTAATCATTAAACTAAATAGAGATTTTTTCTCATTATTAGGAAATGGAAATTGTTGGCTTCGCGTTTACCTATACTTGATGGTCAGAAACTAAAATGTTTCTGGATAGGACTTAGGTGCTCCTAAATAGTCTAAGAAAAACTTGAATTAGTTATTTATTATTCAAATTACAGATTTTTTTTTTGCATTATTAGGGAACTGAACTACTGGCCTTACGTTTACTTGGGGGTGTAGAGATTTGCAGCGAATCTGATAACAGTGGCTATAATCGTTAATGTTGTATTGAAATTAGGTGTTATCTAAGTGCTCCTGAATGGTCGAAGAGAAACTGCAACTTTTTAGGAGCATTTAAATAGCACCAAATTCCAATACAACAGCATTTTAGTCACAGTTATCAGATTCGCTGCAATGCAAGACATCCTCAAGTAAATTTAAAGCCAGCAATTCCTTAATAATGAAAAACAAAAATCTGTACCTACTTCAGTTAATAATTAACTGATTCAAGTTTTGCTTCAAATATAAGCACTTAAATAGCACTAATTCCTATCCATAAACATTTTAGCTTCTGATACAGCACCAACTAAACGTGAAGCCAATAATTTGCCAATAATGAAAAAAAAACTATAAATCATTTAATAATTAACAGATTCAAGTGTTTCGTTGACAATTTGGGAGCACTTAAATAGTACCTACCTAATTTCTATCCAGGAACATTTCAGCCTCTAACACACCACCATAAGTAAACTTAAATCCAGGAATTTCATAATATTGAAAAAAAATCTGTAATTCAGTTAATAATTAACTGATTCAATTTTTTCTTTGACTATTTAGGAGCATTTTAAAAAGTATAGGTACCTATTATGTAAATTCTGATATCAAAGAAAAATTTAAAAAAATATTTTCACTACGGGGGACTGCTATAGGTATTTCATGTAAACCTAGCAATCCCTTCGTTTTTTTTCTACAATGGGACTGCTAGGTTTATTGACCTAATATTCTGGAAAATCAATAAATAACCTCATACAATTTCAAATCTGGGGAGATACCTACTTTGGATAAGTATATGTATTATTAACTTTACATTTATAAATAATTTTACATGTCTGTATAGACTCTACGCTTTAATAATAAGTATATATTTCTAAAATCTTGGCTCTACTGTAGTTAATAAAAATAAAGTCCACAACCATTCATTAAATACAAAAACATTTAATTTATTTTTATTATTTATCAGCATCAGCTGATTACACCAGATGTTCCGCGCGCCCGCCGCGTACACAAACCCTTCAACTACTCTTTGTACTCCTCCGCGATCATGTTAACTGATCCCGACCATAGCCGATCGCGTTCGTGAGTAGACCATTTGCGGATTAGCACAAATGCACAGTAGCACAAATGGAGCCATCTCCAAAAATAGAGAATATAAAAATAACAAAACTAAATAAAGACAAAAAAACGTAAATTGAACATGTTTTTATTATTAAAGTATAAAAGAATTTATTTTAGATTGAAAGAACTAAAATTTACGTTGAATTTTAAAAATTTAGTCATGCGAGCATTCCCAGCATGAGAAGTTGATAGTCCGAATACTCCGAATGTGCCCCACCCTGTATTGTCCGAATGTGCCCCACATGTACAAAATGTGAAAAAAACTAAAAAAAAAAATGAAAATCATGTCTTGTCGATTCTTGAAATATAGCTTATGTGGTGTGAAACTATCATACTTTGTACGTATACCCACTACCCCTTTAAAACTTAAAAATTACATCACAAAATCGTGCAAAACCTTACGAGTAGAGGACATAATACTTAGTTGGGGTCATTATTTATGTATTTCTGGTGATCACTCCCAGATTTCTCAAGATACCGGCACGAAATTTTGTCTGGCGATATGGAGCAAACACTGGTACCAACTGTTAAAATGCCGAAACGCGTTTAGTTTTGGAAGGCGGTAAATTCAAAATGTCCGGAGGTGTCCCATGTCCGAACCTGCCCCACCCTACAGATAAAACCAACAGAACCGCCATCCGATAGCTGGTAACTATTTTGACATTTGGTTAATCAGATTTCAGGAAATCAAGGTCCAAAAATAACCACTTTTCCAGGAACCAGAATAATTTGATTACTTTTGGACCTCGAAACCACAACCCTGGGTATATTCGGACTACAGTACAGCCTCAAGGCCGGAGTCTCATGCATCCGTTTTCCGATGAAAGATGTCCGAAAAACCTTCTATTCTGACATATTCTTATATACGATTATGTCAGAATAGAAGGTTTTTCGGACATATTTCGTCGGAGAACGGATGCATGAGACTCCGGCTTTAAATCTCATTGATCTCAATGATTTAAATGGACATCTATCAAAAGAAATTGAAATCGACGTATTTGATGACTATTATGTCCATCAAATACGTTGTTTTCCATGTTTTATGATGGATGTTCACCTAAATCCCATATATTCAATAAGTGGGCGCAAGATGGCGGCGTTTGCAATTAAATATATGGGATTTTAGAACCATTCAAAAATAAGACAGCAATTGTCGTCACTCTGGGTAATAGAGTCACTCTACTGCGGTCAGAGTTCCAAGGATGAAAATGGCGGCCGCGGCCAGGATCATATCTTTACAACATGACCACAAATTATTTTGTTATTATTTTTTTACAAATACCAGTGCGACTGCGAACTGCAAATACTTATTATATTTTATATAAAATAATAAATATTCTCCATGCAAGCTAGTTGGTGCTAAAGCTATAATAAATATTCAATCAACATGAGTTTCGATGGATATAAAACGACCGTAAAAGAAGGCGATACAGTTGTCCTATATTTAACCATTTCTCAAGTGTACAGTATAAAAGCCCAAGAAAAAACCATAAATAAAAAAGGAATCGAAGTAGAAAGCGTTTTTCAAACACCTTATGGAGCCCTTAAATGTGCGGAACTTGTAGGCAAAACTTACGGTTCCAAAGTTTCCTTGAGTAAAGGCTGGGGATACATTTTACAGCCGACTCCAGAATTATGGACGTTAACACTCAGCCATCGTACACAAATCATTTACACACCGGATATCAGTATGATTATATTCCAGCTGGAATTATGTCCCGGTAGTATAGTAGTCGAGAGTGGAACTGGAAGTGGTTCATTATCACATGCATTCATCCGGGCAGTGAAACCTCATGGACATTTGTATACTTTCGATTTTCACGAGGTTAGAAGTGAGATTGCCAGACAGGAATTTGATGATCATGGATTGGGTAAGTATTCCTTTATGCCTACATCTCGGCCTACATGCAGGCCTACATGGGTCAGAATTTGCCAATTAATTATTATTGTTTGTTATTTAATTATTTACTGTAACGCCTTTCACCTGATATGACTATTTGAAATGGATCTAGTTGAAAGTGAGGATGAGTTATTAGGTACCATTAACAACACAACTGATATCTCGCATGAGCCTGACATAGTAGACCTAGCGCGATCATTTTGTTTACCTAATATTGAGAGGCTCACCCATTATCATTGTCAAATTACATTTTCTGTCTAGCTAGAAATAGTCCACTTTTTCTGACTAGGCAGTAAATCTTTAATTGTCATCTCGTTTGTCATTCAAAGAATTTTTTTTTTGTTTTTAACTTTCTAATTAAAAAGCGAGTTAAAAAGTGACTAATGACACTTGTACCAACGTGCCTTTTCTTGTGCTATTTTTCATTTATTTTTTTATTTACAAGATGTCCTCATTTTACAGAGAATATTATCACATTAAAAGTTTTCCTCGAAGTTTTCTTCAATCTGGTAACCTAAATGGAACCAAGTCAAAACCAACATTTTGGTTTACAGCTAAATGCAATCCCCAAAGATTCACATCATGTTTTCAATATACCTGTTACCTGTTCAGACACTGTTTGAACTCCGTATCTTTAGTAGGATCAATCAGATCATAATTCCTCGTATAATTTATCATAATGCTGGTTTATGTTAAAGATTTAACAGGAGAGAAAGTCACACACTACCATAATGTCCGTGGCATGAAAGTCTATAAAAACCCTTACCTGTGATTCCATGATTGTAAAAATGGTGATGTTCACAGTTAATACTAAAAATTAGTGGTGGGTTGTGGTTGTCTACAAGCAACAGGCTTTCGTCTGCATAGAGAGCTGTAGCTTCCTTGTCCTGCAAAAACACTAGATCCAGGATAGATTCGTTTCTAAGTGAGTTTACCTGATATAGGTTATGGTATGACTGGTATGAGCACAAAAATGATAGTACTTGGAGCTTAGAGCAGGTAAAGGCAAAGAGGAGTAGTAAAGTTGGAAAATGAAGCCGTTTTTTCCAGGTATTTTGGCACCAAAAAAATGGTGATATAGGCAATTCAATGCTTTACCTGTATTTTGGCGCCAAACACCTACTAAAAACTTGGCTTCACTTCAGTTTCATAAGCAGAATGGCACGTTCCTACTCCTAATGTCCGTAGGACAGCGCTTTCCTGCTCTAAGACTTGGAGGGACTCAACTTCATTTGGGTTAGTTAGAAGCTGCTGGCAGAGGGACATCCACAGAGGCCAAATCAACTTTGGACCATTGTCCATTTGGAAGATTCAAATGGCCCAAAACACACACTTTACTATCTGGGTATACTTCCGTCAGTTTTTCCAGGCTGTCAGCAAACTGTGCATACGTTTTAAAGGCACTCCGAGGCGAGAAATAAGCAGTTGCAAAAAATAAAATCGGTACCGTTCATATTGATCTGCACAAATAAATGTTCAATGTTACTACTTGCTTCCAGGACTCGACTTTTAATATTCTTTCGAACTGCTATTAGTACCCCACCCCCTCTTGAGAAAACAGCCTCCTGTAAATATTGAAATCAAGCATTTGAAGTTCAGCATCCTGGAAGTGTTCCGTCAACCAAGTTTCATTAAAAACCAAGATATGGTATTCAGAGTAAGAAACATTCTCAAAAAGCAAGTGAAGCTTGATGCGCAAGCCTCTAACATTTTGGAAATAGACATGTAAATTGGATGTGGATTTTACGACTAAAAAACTTGTTAGTTTTTTGTTGCCAGTCTGGGAATCCCATTAATGTACTTCAAAAAAAGGTTCTTTCCACCTTTCAGCAGTCTTTGCTTCAGTTTGTTTTTTAAGTTGTTGAGTTCCACATGTTGTTCAGAAGTTAAGTCAGTTTCTAAATATATGCCCCTGCCTCTAACCAAAGATGAAATTTTTAAGGAGATTGTTTCTTTCATTTCTACTTAAACATACATGTATTTACACACAACTAAAAACATACTCACACAATATATACAGACACACCCAGTAACACTTACATTCCACACAGACACGACGTATACAAACACCTAAAAACATAGAACACGTAAATTTTACATACTGTTTGTTTCACGAGAGTTTGTACTTTTGCCTTCCTTTTTTAACAAATACAAATTGACTGAGACAAATTAATGACGTCGAGAACGTTTGTAGGTTTTTAAACCAGAAGTCATTCAATACAATACAAAATCGCTATTGAATTTATATGAATCAATCTTCGACAAACCTTTTTTTCCAAGTTACTTATCGATGTCATAAGGGTTAGTATTCTAGGGTTAATTTTAAATTTGAGCCAAATAATTATGCTCCTCAAAAACACTTATTTAATCATTTCTAAATAAAAAGTGTCATATTAGGCGCAGGGGTCATAGTAAATAAATAATTTTTTTTCTTGCCTATAGATAATTCCCCTGGTAATTCTTAATTCATAAAAATCTAAACATTGATATTTTTGAGAATTACAGAGAGAATTACCAAAACTAATAAAAATTAAGAATTAAGTGAGAATTAAGGAATTGGTTGCCTATATAACATATAATGCTAATCCCTCCTTAAATGCTAAATATCTCCAACAGTTTTAAAAAATCAAAACTTTCAAGCCACACATTTTTTTTAGGACAATATGTTACAGTGTGCCATAAAGATGTCTGTGAAAATGGCTTTGGAGAAAATTTGAATGGTATAGTTGATGCTGTTTTCTTAGACTTGCCTCACCCTTGGCTAGCTGTGCCACATGCCGTTAAAGCTTTAAAAGAATCTGGAGGTAACTTATAAATACACTGTGGCTCAAATTTAAAGTAGTACAATTTTCAATCGTTAACACATTTGATTAGGTAGCTTGTAGATAATTTGCGAATATAAAAAAGGACAACTTGCAAGCCGTGTCGTTTTTTATCTGTAGTTTAGAGGAAGACCTCATCTTCAAACCACATTTCAAACATCATTTTCCCACCTGTATCACCATCTTGCCAATTTTTTAACGACAAAATTCTCAAGATGCAAAAATCGTTCAGTCAAGTAAATTTTTTTTTTTTCGAGTACCTAGGTACTTTATATTTTTTTTCAATACCTACAACCATCATTGAGCGATCAGGGAATTCGTCCCCTTTTTGGAAGAGAATCAATATTCAAACCTCATCCAAAAATAAGTTGAAAAAAAATAAAATGATAAGTGACTTTAATGTGAGCCTCATAGTAAATATTAATATTTATACTGCAATATTTTCCATTTAGGAAGAATCTGTTCTTTTTCACCTTGCATAGAACAAGTTCAAAAAACATGCTTGGAACTGACTAGATTGGGCTTCCAAGAAATTCAGACCATGGAGGTACTTCAGACCCAATACAATGTTCAAACGAAACATATCCCTGTGAAGGATTTGGATTTTTTGAAAATGGCAAAATCCGAAAACAAATCAGATGGTGCAGAGAAAAAGGAAAGTGAAGTGGCAAAATTTTTAACGGCAATTCCACCAATGCAACAGCCAGGACATACGGGATATTTGACATTTGCAAGTTTGTATCCAATTTGGTCAAGAAAGCTAGGGATAAGTATAGATGAAAATGAAACAGATTAAAAAAAAAAGTTGAAAATAAGTAAATTAGTTTTTGTTTTGTTTTATTATCCCAATGTAATGGCTTCTGACAATTTCTGTTTATGATACCAGTGTCAATCTACATAAGATAGTATAGGGTAAACTTTTCTATGTATATAGGTATAGTTTCAGGATTATTTTTTGTTTGTTACGACTATCGAAAACCAAAAGAGCGTAAGCTGAGGTTTAAGCATCACTAATAATTTTATTGGACTATAGACTCTTGAGAAAAAAATATTTGGTTTAAATCATAATAATCGGTTGAGGGTTATGGTGCTTGGAGAATTATTTGTTCCTTCCAGGATTCACTTCTTTGAATGCTGAAATGAGGAAAGTTTAAAAACCCCTTCAGCATAATATGGTTTATCTGATGAATAAAAGGGCACCTATAACGGAAATATGAAATATGGAAGGAGACCAGTGGAGAGTAAATTAATAATTAATGAATAAGAGAACAAAATAACAAGCTTGGTAGAACAAAAAATCTACCCATATAATATATAGAAGGGTATGTTCTATTTAGGCTACTGAATAAATGAAAATGATGATGCTGCAGTTTTAATTAAGCTTTTAGAGTATATAAAATTTAAAAAAATATAGCAAATCAGGGATAGAATAAGGAAAATAAGAGGACTAAAAGTTTGTCTGAAGTGAACTTATACAAACATTAAGATATTACATTGAATATTATTTGAAAAAGCGAGAGAGGTATCAAGAAAGGATCTGTGCAAGGCTTCGACTTACATTAGAAGAATTCTAATCTGAAAAATAAAAATACTGTATGGATACGACACGCCTAAACATTAATCCCCAAATTACCAATTTTATTTGTCATTGATTGGCATGGGCTACCACTAAAATGTTCATAAACCTTTAATATATTCACATATTGAATTATTATGAAATCGATAAACAATATGGGTTAATTATCTTATATCTATCTATCTATTAAATTCATACACCATTTAGCTAAGTTAATAATCCTGATTAATCACATACCTACCAACATCTCTCATAAAAGTAAAGGAACGTGCGCCTTGCTAAGCCCCAAATCCTTCCGTCCGCCTCACCGCAACATTTAAAAGCGGCTAGCAGGAGCCCCGAGAAGCCATAATCGAATCGCTGGTGTCGCATCGCTGACATCAAGTGACTTAGTTGATCCTTTTTGCTTCCAGTGATTTTTTCACCCCCCGGGGCTAATTAAGTGCTTTTCTTTTTTAATTGTGAAACGAAACTTGCAAAATGGTAAGCGATATAAAACATACTTGCTCCTAGATTTTATGTTATTTTTACTTCATGGTTTATTTATGTGTTATTTATCATAATTAATAATTA